TATCTTATAGTGACAACGGGTAGGGATTCAGATTACCTTACATGAAGATGAATGTAATTTGTATATAAACTTATTCATACCTGTGAGAATGGTGTGTGCTTGTACATTCAGGAATAAATACTATTATTATCATTAATTCTTGAACAACAGCTGCAGGTTGTTAGACAAACGCAATTTCTACCCTGAATTACTGTTTCTTAAGCAAAGTAGTTGGGCGAGTGGAAAGTCTTCTTTTTTCACTCATACTATCTATCGCAGTTTCCAGATACAAGAAGTCTCCGTCAATGGAATCTATTAAAGTAATGTCACTTAGCCGTTTTCATTGACTGCACTATTATGGCAAATATTTGTTGCATCGAGCTGCGTGATCAAGGTAAGGTTAGAGCTATCGACATTGTTGCGGCTTCTGTGAACACCGTTGCTGGAATTACGAACCATGACATTTTGGCATTTAACGGAGGATACATAAAATCGAAGGACTACTGCTATTTACTTGGTTACACTGATCAGACTGTGTCGGTGACAGCATCTGATGGTTGTTTGATCCTCAGCTACTGTCCTAGGAAGCCAGGGGTTTGATAGCACAAGAGTAAATTCATCCATGGTCCAGTTAAGCACTTGTACTGTTCAGAAGTGCGAAATCCAAAATGAATAACAGAAAAGTTACGGCTCAGTAGGTCAGGTTGTAACGACCAGCTGTTGATAGGTTTGCGTCTAGCCTGTAGGTAGGTGTGTCGTTGCGGGGGGAGGTGCGCATGTGGGGGTGTGAGTTTGGAGGTGATCTGGTGAATATGGAGAGGAAAAGAGTGAGAAAAACTTGAGCTGACCAATCAGCGGGTACACAGGATGCACTGACATTTGATAATGAAAGATAACCGGCACACGATAGAGCTTCACAACGACGGGATGAGGAAGACCAGAAGCAGAAACTAGAAAGTGAATGACCGAGGTTTGGGACACATTACAACATGTGGATATAATGCAACATACAAACCGCTCGGCAACGATGTGTTGGGTCCATTTTTTGGAAGCTTGCAGCCGCTGTGGAAATCTATAACTCAACAGTGAGATAGCCCTCTGAAGACACTTCCACATTTAGTGAATGACTGCACATGGTCAATACTACCTCTTTACTGAAATTGTGGGTCATCGGTGGGAGCAGATTTGTATGTGTCTTCTACATAAGTGAAAATGGTTACTGCGTTTCAGTATATCACATAGGTCACGACAATTTTCAATACCCGCCCCGAGGATACCTAGGAAAATGCGTCTCAGTAGCTTCTGATCACCGTTTGATATGCCTTATTTAGTTTGGAATGTATGGGTTACACAAAGATCAATAATTGTGGCCCGCCCGTTCTCTTGGACATCCAAAAGTGGCTCTGTGGTCATAACATTTGGTTTGCACCCCTTGCTGTTCCTTCCAGCATTCGGAGAGATAGGTTACTCCTCTGATCCTCTGCCCACCTACATCGAGTATCCCAGGCGTGCGAAATTGGCAAACAAGCACTGATAGTTTTCTAGGCAGGATTCGCTTACGAAACTAAGGCCGGGGGTAAAGTAGGATATCTGGAAGATAGAAAAGATTCATTTAAAATCTTGAGGATACTGGCTCACTGGTAGCCCACATTTTGTGTTGTGCGAAGTGACTGTTTTGTTACAAAGCTTTACAAAGTGACTTCAGTCCTTGTTTGAGACACAGTACGCTGAGTCCTGGTAAAATAAGGATTTTTTATGAGTGAGCGCACTCCAGGACCTTAGGGTGCGGCTGTATATTGGGCTGTAAAATGGGACTGCAAAGTTAGTAGGAAACTGCCGGGATATACGAACACGGCAGTCGGTATTTCAACGAACTAAATAATAGTTACATTCGATACGAGTAAACATTTCAGTCTACACAAATTTCAGGCGTTCCTAATATTATTAAGGCTAGTAGATCGGGCTACTTTTGTTGAGATCCAGATAACTCGCCTTTATGGACAATTTACCCTTTTAAATGGGAACATTACCTCTTTGAGGTGCCGCCTATCCCAAGTGCTTTAAAACCCCTTAAGAGGCTCTAGAATTGATTTGGACGAGGCATAACGCGAATATAAGGTCGGAAAGCTTGTCATAATAACAAGAAAGGGCTTTAAAAGCCAAACGAAAAAGTACTGCACATGTCGTGCCAAATGACAGTCTAGCTCAATGTGTTTTTTAGTTCTACCTAGAACGAGTCAGCCGACATAAACACAGTTTCTCCTGAGGAACGAATGCAAAATTTGCTCATTTGACTCTGAAAGTAGTACTGTATGGTGACGGCATCCTTCGCTTGCTATACCTTGTACAGTATTCCGACCTGCTGAGAGGAAAAATAAAAAGTGGACTGGGTCCACGGTTGTTTCCTAAGATTCTCTATAGGATGACTAACTCGCTTCTCCAGTTACGATTCAGTAAGTAAAGGCGTTTCGGCTCCTGAGGTCATTTCTCATAGACCATGATAGCCATCGCAATAGCCATCTGAGTAGCCTTTCTCGCCACTCTTTTGCGAATTCCTGGCCCAAAGTTTGGGCGAGTTATCGCAATTCGTGCGCAGATATTTAGTATTGATCTGGTTAAGGTGTTATGTAGTTCAGCGAGTTTGTCACCACTGATCTCAGTAAGCGCCCTACACATTTTCGAAGGTAGCCTAAAACCCAGTTCCAACCAGCCAATCAATCAGTCAGCAGTGTAATGTGGTCTTCAGACCATTGGTAACTACAACTTACGATACACTTCAAACCACTAACGACGGTGGAGTTATTCCATGAATATCGTGCATGTTGCTGTCTGTATGCTTTATATGCATGGTTTTACTCCTACCTGTGTTCACGAGCACCGGCTATTTCTTTAGTACGATTAAGTGGATCCTTGATTCGTCCGAAACATGCATACATCGTAAACATACTTTGATTCTTGCCACAATGTCGCATTCTCGGCTTCGATTGTCATGGAGGATTTTTGGTAGATGGTTGGTGATTTATGAAAAGATGAAATAGCTTGGGTCCCAAAACTATGCCTGCGCCAGTCCGCTATGCACTGGTTCACAAGAAGAGTTGGGGGAGCTGTTTTTTACCAGCAAAGAGTTAGATGATGTATTCATGTAAGCTATCGGTGATTCTGAAATTTTCCGGTCCCATAAACAGCCTTAGGTGAAGCCCAGCGCATTGCCAATGTCCGTAGAAATGCATTTTCACGCTTTCTGCTACCCTTGGAATCTAACAGTCTTTCTTTAACTGAGAGGTCTGTCAAGCAAAATAAAATCATGTACAAGCCTTGTCGCATGGTTGAGGGCGGACTGTTGCTTTCTACGCGAAGATCTTTGACTTCCTTTATTTTCTTTTCCATGATTTGAACTGCAGTAGCAACTAAGCTTATCGGCTTTTAATATGATGGGTGTTATTTCCAGCCTGCCTTAGGGCTATTTGTGATTGTAGCTTCTTTCCGGCTTTGACTGATGGACAGACTAAATATGATGGATGTATTTCATCCGGTCTCGTTGATTTTTCCATACCTGGAATAATTGCTGTCTGAAATATGACACTTCAGAGTTTATTCTGCTGGGTGCTAACGCTTCTACTCTTATGTTTGTGTTTACTGGAGGTTGCTGGGTAGAGACCTCGCAAGAATAAGCAGCTGTAGATTCATTTTTGTCCCCATCATATTGAATTAAACAGGTGGTTTCGTTTCTTCCACGTAATTTAGGCATGCCAGGTTACGTTTTATTCCAACAGTTCATATAAGAGGTGTCGCGCATTCCTTGACGCTCCTATACACCATGTTTGTGCTCTGATGATAATAATAACAGTAATATTAGTAATAAGCGAAGAGCCCCTGTAAGTGTTCTGCCGGAATTTGAGTGATATGGACTTCTAAGCATAGTGGAAACCGATGAATGTCAGCGACAGACCTATCCGAGGTAAATCTTTTCTGTTTCTTCGCCTGAATACTACGAAGGTTAGTGACGAGACTTCAACATGTTTTGCCCCGCAGCAGCAAACTTAAGATTTCGCAGGTTACCCATAGATGACAGTCATGGAACTGATGCCCAAGTCAGTGAGGCCAACAAGTGTTGAATGGAGCACCATACACCCCAAACTCTGGCTTCTGCGTTATCGGTTCAGTCCTTTAAAGAGCCTATCGATTCTGGAGTTACCATATCGACGTGCTGCGCATTGAAACTAGCTGTTGTGTCAGCCTGCCTGAGTTGACTTGAATATAGCTGCAGCATGATCACATTTGCTTGCAGATCCAAGGTGCTCGCTGAAGCCACTATACTGTGCTTGAGACAGTCCTATCTAGAACTCATGAGATACGCTCATGTTCATATGAAGCACTTGCCATAGCCTGCCGCATGAAACCCAACGGAACTGATGTTTCCGCCACACTATGATCAAATGAATTACTTTACGTTACAAACTAAGCATCGACACTTACTATCAAGGAAGTCAGTTCGTTCTGTACGAATCTTCCACCTCATGTTCATGGTTACGATGCACCGCAACCAGTTTAGTATCCTTTATTTTGAGATTCGGTAAAAAATGCAGCGTTTAACATGCCTCAAATTCTTATGTGACTATTTCTGCGGCTCTCGCAGTAAGGGTGCTATTTACTCCAGGGGATACACCAGCATCTTTGTGTACTACTCTATCACCTAGAAGGAGAGTGAACAGTTGTAATTTTGCCTGGCAGTCGGCGATCCGTGGAAGAGAAGTGTTCTTCCAAGAAAGCAATGATATTGAGGATTTTGATGCTGGTCACACGCCTTAATTAGGTTAATTTATTCAGGAAACTAAGAACATTCGTGTGCAGCTGCCTCAAAAGATCTACAAATTGCTTGATCTATCCACGAAGGTTTCAAATGTTTACTTTGTCTGCATGGAAACTGGGACGAGATCTTATTTATGTATTCAGATGTTTTGCACTGAAATTTGAAGAATTTCACTGGACGCGGTCTGTCTGAACTTCGTCCTTGACGCGAAATGCCAAGTGACCGCTTCGAGTTCGATGAGAACGGGGACACATTTTTGTGCTTCCTGACAGCATTCTATACATTGATTCTTATCCCCCTGACTTATTTCTGCTGGCCTTCATTCGAATTCAAAGGTTATAGTAGGCTGTGAATAATCAGTCTGTTTAGATTCTTATGAGCAAACCAAGAGAAAATGTTTGTGCCAGCCATGTCAAGTAAAACGACATCACCTAAAGTTGTCCACCCCTTTAAAGAGGCTAAAGAAAATTATTATGTTGGATTGATTCTATTTTTAATACTGTATTTTGCAGAAAGGCCTCTTTTGTTGCTGCGTGGGGGATATTTTTCCTTCTTGTGTATAAACTTACTTTGATTGAACCTGATAACTCCGGGTTTGACCCGTTTTCTGTCTTGGGAATAGACAGGGTAAGGAAATGTTAACCAATTATTCACTTCAGGATGCTTCTGCCAAAGATATTCGAAGTGCTTACAAAAAGCTATCCGTTTTGAACCATCCTGATAAAGGCGGGGATCCGAAAAGGTTCATACAGATTTCGAAGGCGTACGCTGCGTAAGTTTTTGGTTTTTGATGTCTAAGTGGAATGTCTGGTTATCTTCACTCCATTTATGAACCTTCGGTTTTACAGATGTTTTTAATTTCATATTGGTTTACTTACTAGACATATCATACAGTGTAAAAGCATTGTTTACTGGATCGCACTACGAACACACTTTATGATTCCTAACCATATCAAGATGTACATGCTGCGCTTCAGTTATCCAACATCTAGCCCGAACCTAAATGTGACTTAGATGTAGGTTTTGAAAGTTTAGGACGTTTTAAACCTGAAGCATTGCTAAGCAATGAGGCCTGATAACTTACCATTAGAGGTTTCTAAGGATCAAGGCAGACGGCTACTAAGCAGAGTAACAGAGGTGCTATATAGTTTATAGGAGTTAGTCCCGTAAGACAAGTCTACTTTATTGATCACTCCAGTTTATAAGAAAGCAGAGAATCAGGGGATCAGTTTAGCTAGTATCATGCCTAAGGACCCTAGTTACCCGACACGTAACTGGAGCTCAGAAAAGAAACGAGTAAAATAGGCTGACTTCAGACCTGAATGAGTACATCTACCGGATTTTCACCCTTCAACAGATCCTGAAACATGAACGCGCTTATCGGGGTCGACACTTGCCAAATTAATTAACCTAAACGTATCATTTAGCTTCCAGCCATGAAGTATTGGCAGTCTAGCTAAAAAAAAGTAACGAACAAAGTATATGACGCTAATCAAAGCTCTCTACTCAAACTGTCAGCCGTGTAAGAGCTTGTGGGTAGTTGTCATTTGAATGGGAGGCGAAATAGCTGAAAATGGATTCAGCTTTGCTAGACCAAAATGTTACGCCAGTTAATGAGGTCTTTGATTTTGTTTGAACAGTGTACAGTGGAGACTTTCTAGCTGGGGTCGTCGAGATAATAAGCATAAATAGTTGAAGACTCCTGGTAATATAGTTGATGATTGGTTATAGTTTTGGAGGTGACATCTACAAATGTTTGGACAGTTTCTCTGACCCTAACTTTATTCTTGCTTCTTCCATAGACTTTTTAGAACTCTAATGTCGCTCTTTATTATCAACTTCTTGTTTTTGTGCTGCTGTGAAGTTTGGTAGCCTAAAGTGATGCGCTTCTGCGCGATGTCCTGCGTCGATTAATCTGTCTGTCATATTTCCCAAAAATACTGAGGTAATCATAGATCAAAAGTATTTGGTAAGATAAACTTACCTTCCTACTTTCCTTTCACTATAGGGATTGTTTCCATCGCATAACATATTTCTTCTGCTGTTCAGAAGAGTGCACAGTGAATGAGTGAATTTTATTGGATTGAATAAACTAGGTCTGAATGAATTAGCTATGTAAGTGGGAAATGCCACAGAAATGTTTTGTTACACTGTTTTCTAAAAGCCAAATAAAAACGAAGAATATCCTTTCAATAACTTCTAGTCAGGTTCTACAGTTATAAAATCAATTTCGTTAACATACTAATAGCCAAAGTTTGCGGCAAATGCATTGCAGAATGGTTTCGGAATTAAAATTTGATTCTTGAAGTTCGTGGATGGTTATATAACTTCTGTATCTGTATGTCAATTGCGGTAATAAGTTGAGTGTAAACTGTCACTTGATTGGTGGTCAGATGTATAAGGAAGGAAAATTAATAATAATGTTCAAGTTTGCATTGTGTTGAGTGAGTAATTAGTACAAAGAATGACATGAATTTACCGTAACGACAGAAATGGAGTGGATATATATGTATATATAATGGTTAAAATGTGATACAGCTAAGATAATGAGAGGCAATGTTTTAAAAAAGATTTCACCTAAGATTTCTGTTTAGGATAATTTCATTTTCAAAGGCTGTTCAATCGTATTTATAGATAAGTTGAGGTAGACAATAACAAATTTGTTTGAATACGTTTCACTTTTGCAGTAAATGAAATTGTAAAGTGAATTGATGAGCGAGGATAATGTAGGAGAACAGAGCGAACTACAGCACAGTATACTCGACTCTTAATAGATAACCAAATATCGCGGCGACGCCACAGATGACCTAATCGGACCATATCATCTATATACTCTAGTTCCACCTAGGATTCTCCTGTGATAACATTAATCCCTATGAAGTCAGATAATGAGAGGGAAACCTTCATGAAAACGTCTATACTAAAATTCAGTAGGAACGGAGAGAGTAGACAACCCCAACGGACACTACTCGATATGCACAATTCATGTAAACTCACTATGACACACCTGCGGGTGTTTGCTTGCAGAGGTTTTAAGGGAATAATACACTTAATCAGCACTCCTTTCAGTGAGAGACATTGTAGTAAGATATCTAGGTCGATGAAGTCGGATACTATGATCAGGGCGAGAAATACGGCCAGTGTTCGGCGTCGGTAAATATCTGGTTGATACATCCACGACCTGGTCTAAAGGCTACCTGATTTTCCCGCGTTTGCCGTCCATGAGTTCCACTCAGACGTCCAATGTTTATAGAAACTAGAATCTCAGTTACTATGTTTTTTAGGCCGATCTCTTACTGATCATCACTAGAGAACTTCTCGCCATTTTTGAAGACTGGGACAATGAGTGATTGAGACCAGTCATAGGGGCTTATATCTGACTCCCATACACTAGTCAACAACTCAATTTGGATAATAATCCTCAACCATTGTACTTAAATACTTCTGCTACTAGTCCGTCTGGCCTTGCTACTCTCCTTCGTTTCAGGTTACTGCTTTCTCAACTTCTGCCAGTGTTGGGAGTCTTACATTGATGTATCATTCAAGCTTCTACTGTATAGCGGGGGATGAAATAGTAGCTAAAGGCCAGTCAAACTGTGCTTCTAAGTGTTCCGCCGATAGTTCTTGCTGTTTCCACTTTGTGTGAATAACAGGCCCATACTTCTCCGCTAGTCTCACTAGTAGCTGACCTATACGCTTTAGTTTCCTTGGTAAACCTAAATAACTGCTTACTTTTACCTATCGCCTCTGCCTTTTTCATCTCTACCATTCGCTGCCCACCACTAGTTTTAGCCATTGTGTAGACTTTTTTCAGTTTACATTTGAGTTGCATCCGGTCATCATTGTGTTCGGGACCTAGAGAGATGAGTTTGCGTGCATCCATTAATTCAGAAGAAGTTACTGAGATCCTCTTGCTATTTTTAACCACTTTCTGTGTAAGGTACTATCCTTGACGCTGTTTTTACAGCAGACTCGAGATGACACCAGGCTTTTTCCGGACTATTGATGCTTTTCTGTCCCGATAAGTCTAGCCAGTTTCTCACTGAAAGCATCCTGTTAATCTCATTGTCAAGCTATACTTGCACTGGTCTTGTTGCTGTAATTTTTCTACGTGCATTTTGGTGCAGATACGCTCTCCAACCAACGTGTGGTCTCTGTCCAGATACGTATTCCGGAAGGAACGATAATCTTCTACTGACCCCTCTCCACCGATAACTGACAGCAATATGGCCTGTCATTCTCCACTGCTAAGTTGAGTTCGGTGGATGCCGCGTCAGACAATGTCTCTATGTTTGTCTAAACTTCGTGCTGACTTGAAATAGATGATTGCTATAGCCCACTTGTAGCAGGCGATCGCCGTTATCTGTTCGTTTGTTTGAGATTCAGAAAGTGTCATACGTGTGCTTTTCTACCTGACAGCCCATCCATTTGTACATTGAAATCACCTTCAGTGAAATCCACCTCTTAGCGTCTGACCTTCACTAGTTTTCGGTAAAACTCATCTAAAATGCAGTCAGTGGGTACGTAAGGAGAGATCATGAAGAGATAACAACGCGTTTCACTTCTTTTTAGGCCAAATTGTATCGTCCAGCCAAACAGTACATAGGTGACTGTCAACTTAGATCTAGTCGAGCAATGAACTTTTGCCTTAGCACTTAATGCTATACCTACACCTGAAAGATTGCGATAACTAGCTATCAAATCTTCAGAAACTTGCAGGATAAATTTTGTGGATTCACCATATTAACAGGGTGAGGTTAAGTGAGTAACTTCACTTGGATCTTGTTTGCCTGTCTCACAAACACAACACATCCATAAGCCGAGTTGCTAGAGTTCTGGCTAGCGAAGCTTGTTGGCTAATTTGATGGAGGGTGCGGACAATGCAAGCTCCAATATGTACTTCAGCGCACGGTTTCACAAGACCAGTGATGCTATTCCGGGAACTCATCATTATTAAGGTGGGGAGAAATACAGAGAATGTGGGATTATTGACTGAAAGACGTGAAGAAAGAATAAAAAGTGATGATGTGGATGGTGGGCGATTGTTACTTTCCGGTTGCTCACACCACAGCAGGCTATTTCTTCGCAAGGTACCTGTAAAAGAGGGGTTAGTGCGTCACCGCAGGGACCACGGGACATCTGCTTTAATGTGGGTCACACTGCCTTTTTAGAAGTTTTAAATTTTAGGTTGCCAGTCTCGTCTGAGACTCTGAACCTATATTGCTGGCACTGGTCAACCGCGAGGTAAAAAGGCGTGTCATTCTTAGGACTGGCCTTTTCTAAATCCCCTTCCCATAGGGAGGGCGGCATCATCATGGCACAAATGGTCATACGCGGGAAATATCTTACTGCTATCACACCACCATCTGTTCAGCAGTACAACTTCGCCATTGGACCTTATCAGAACACAAAAATTTATACTATATCGGTAACTGTTTATTGTCAAACCACCTTTTTGGTATAGTAGGACCTTGAGAGAACAAGCGTTCTATCAGCATAGGTCGTTGGATCATTGTGATATGCAAGCCCGACCGTCGCGTCAAGTTATCAGCTATCTGTCGGGTTGTTTCACACAATCTTCACTCAACTGTTTTCAAATGAAATCACACTATCTTCATCCATTTATTAACCTCCAATCTTCCATTTTTAACATCAGTTTTCCTATATTCTAAATGATTTGATGAACCATGAAGTGTTATCCCCTCTCATTAACGCACCTTATGGCTCCACTTGTCTTAAAGATGATACAAACATAAAAGGGTGTTATTGCCTATCTCAGCGTATCTATAAATACGACTGCGCAGCTTTTGAAAATGAGATCGTTGCAAGGAAAGGTTTTCTCCTCTGAAACTGTTTTAATTAGTAGGTCATAAGTTGTTTCCAAAATAAAGATTTAAAAGGCAACTTGTAAAATACGTGTAGTGTTATTAGTAGATATCAGGTTTTTCACGTTTAGAAGCATTTAGTGACAACATAACTCCTGTCGGTAAACAATGAAGGTTTCTTATATGTAGAAAAGTGAACATATACATATACTCCGTCGTGATTCTGTGAATCCGTAGTTCAAGGGTCAGATATACCATCTGAAATCGGAAAGTAGAATGATGTCCGTCAACATTCGCTCAGTCTTTTGAGGTTCAATACATACACCAGTGCACTGGAAGTTCGCATGCACACAATCACCGATTCACGAGTGGTGATCATTCTTGTATGAACGAACGAAACGCGCTCGAACACCTTGTACAAATCCATACAGTAAGCGATGAGCCACACTTATTGTGTGGGGTCCAGTGATACTACCTGACTGCCTAAACCTTGGTAAGTGGGGCGTGATGTCTGAAGTTGGGGTATTACGTGGGTTCTAATAATACACGAACGAGATAACGCAACGAGATACTTGGACTGGGTACGAGTAATACGACTGTTTTCCCCCACACAACATACTTCACTGAGCCACGAAAATCATAAAACGACAACTTTATTAGACAAATACGTGGTATATATATAACTCTCGGAAAATGAAGCCATAAATGAATCAATCTGATTTGTTGTATGACGTTAAATTTGTCCAGTTAGGTAATTATGTCAGTTCATGCATAAATCATGATCTGAAAACAATTTCTCTATTGGCCGCCTTTTTGTCGCTACCTGTCAGGGCAGGTTTCGAACTTGTGATCTACTGGTTGGTAGTTATCTCCCTAAACTACTAAGCCACGGCCCCACTCATTGTTATATAACTGCCCCGGAACACAAGCTGTTTCGAGTTTAGTACTTAATTTAACGAATATAAGGCAAGGATTTTATTGAAAATTGCATCACGTTCCATCATAATTAAGAGGGTTTTATTACTCTACACTTTTTTGTGAAGGTTTAAGATAATGCATACGACTTGTTTAGTTCTGTTGCTGTTTTTCTTTTTTAAAGTTTAACTAACGAAGAGTCACGGAAAAATTGGGAAGAATATGGTAACCCAGATGGACCTGGTGGTAAGTTCCATGTCTACACTTTTTACTTATGGCTTCTCATTTGTTTGTTTTAAGGTGAATATATGTTTTACTCATGTACTTATCATTTCTCGTATGTTCCTCTGTTTACTTTAATGACTTCTGTTGACTTTTGTACTGGTCTGAATTGATTAACTTCTCTGCTTGGAATCCGGTGCCGTATGCTCAAAGCAACGCATCATAAACTAAAGAGAAAATATTCAGTAGTTCATGAAATCGCCGTCAACAGACCCTTCTGAATTACTTTCTTTTTTACCTATTCCTTACATCACTGTGATGATTCATTCAGTTTGATGTTAGAGTGCAATTGTATCAGCCTTGTAGATAAGTTGATGATTATCTTTTCAAAAAAGCTCTATCCATCATTACTTTGGTTTCATGTTAGATTTTTAACGTGATATATGCATATAAAAATTTGTTTCTGGTTTATTTGTTTCCTATTCTAATTGTTCTTCTCTGTAGCTGCTCACTTTGGAATCGCATTACCCAAGTGGATGGTTCAGAAGGAGAATTTCTATCTGGTAAGCAGTAGTAAAATTATTTTGTAAATTCTGTTTATCGAAGTAAGTGAACACTATGTGTATGTATGTGTGTGGAACTGTTCATAAACAAGAAGTGGAATTTGGATGATCATTTTCATAGGTACGTTGTATCTAAGTTAACTGCTGAAAAGAAATTCATTTCTATCAATTCGTTTGAATTAGAAAGCAAATTATTTCCAATGAGCCCCTCACTATTTTCCTTTATTGGTTGCAAACCAATGCACCTTAAGCGAAACCATGTATCCACTTGTCCGTTACATGCTATCGTGAAGTGTGATAACTTGAACCAGTTCACTTCCATGTCAGGTTCGACCTTGATTTATCTATCTGTCCGATGAATTCACTTTGTGAGCAATGTGGAGGTTAGTCGTATGGTGCTTTGCAATACAGACCTAGACCTTCTTCGATCGAGGTGGCTTAGACATGTATTGCATAAGCCGTACCACCGCCTGCCTTGATATGCAGTACTAGAAGTTGGAGTAGTCTGGGAAAGTGTTCGGGTTGATCGGACTAAGACGTGACACTACATGAAGTACCTGACTGTTAGTCTGGGTCGTATATAGAGGTATAGACTACCTAGCTGAGATTGCCGAAATCATAGGTATCAGTGGGGGCCTTGGTGATATGGCTGTTCAGTAACTAAGTACCATGTATCTCCGCTTGATTTCACTTTTACGAAAATAATCTGGATCACTTATACTTTATTATTATAGCTACGATATCCTTACTTTTTGGGACAAAGTGAAGTTTTACTGGGACTTCCGAAGTGTTAGCGCTGCCATAAGTATTTTATGTCACTGAGATTCATGACGTTTTCAGTATCATTTATTTCTCATAAATGTGTGAGCTTGTCAACCCATTCACACCCATGTTTATCACGCAGTTTTACTTACGTGTAAACACATACTAACAATAATATAGTAATAAAACATGGGAAACACGCATAGCCTCGCATAGCACAAGTCAGTGGAGTACACTTATTGTGTGTGATATATTAACAGACTGCCTAAACCTTGGTAGGTAAAGACAGTAATAGCAACTAAACTTTATAACTTAAATCGTAAACAAGCTTCCATTTCGCATTGTCAACGTTTCAGTTCCATCTTAGATGTTGGTTTCAGTATTCCAATCTTTGTCAAAAGTTCATGTAGACTAAAGCTTTGGAACCTGCTCAACATTAGGGTGTAGGCTTTTTTTGAGATGTCTAACGTAATTAAGTACTTTCAAGTACGTCTTGGATACAAGCATTTTCGTTTACATGATTATGTCACTAAGATTTGATTCATTGGTTTGGGTAGTTGACTTTGAATGAATGGGTCATGGGTTCAAACTGAGCTCCACCTACAGAAGTCTGGCCATTCATGCCCTCACATCATTTATGGTTCGAAGGTGCACTTTATTACTGTGTTCATAGGGAAGTTCTAATTCATCTTGATGTAACTTTAATTTGATTCTTGTACGAAGTTTTAATATGTGAACTAAAATTAACCTCAAAGTATTTGCTTACTCTTCTCATCCGTTTCCACTATACTTTGTGTTTTTTAATAATGAGGAATGATTCTATACTAAATTTTTTATATGATATACCATACAGTAATACAATATTATTTACAATACCGCACTACATTTTGTATTGTGTCTTAGTGCCTAGATTTTACATTATTAAGGAATAATGTTTTTTTACTTCCATGTTGCCTACAGGTGGTCGGTGCCTATGTATTACTATTCATGATGATATTGCCGATTTCTGTGGTATGTTACTGATTTCTGTTGTCCATGTTTGTATGATACAATTTTATACAATAATACTCATAGACAAATTAGTTGAACTTGCATTTATTATAATGCATTTACACTACACTACGATGGATTTTGAAGTATACCGTTCTTACAGTAGACAACAAGCCAAACCTATTGTATAAGAACTGATAATACCTGACTTTTGAGACCTCCACAGTCGGAGCATGGTTGGAACCTGTTACCTGTCGGAAGACAAGTGCGTAATCCAATAAGCCACAGCTCTACAAGTTCTTCAACTACTGATTTTGATGATTTCTCGGACTACAACTGCAGACTTTGCAGTTCTGAACAAAGATTAAACAAATACTCAGTAACATTGCAGTTTAAAGTTGCCATTCGGTCCAACCATCATGAAACATTTACTACTTTATATTCACTCCAGCTGATATTTTATATCGAGAACACCAGTGGTCACAATTTCAATTAATACTGTTCTATGCGAGTAAACACTTGAACAATAACCTTCAGATTCCATTCTTGATGGTCGCTCTGCTTCTCGGTAAATAGAAGAGGAGATAGGGTAGCAGGTATGTCGGAACATCCAAATATACACAAAATACAACGGTTTATGTACATTTTCAGTGGTTTTGAATATTTCTGGGGCTTACTAGAATGCCACATTGATTTTTGTCTCTTCACATGGATTCACATACTTTTTCTTGACACTTCTAAAAAACACATGGTTAGTCCATGAAAGGCTTCAGAAATTCAGGGCTTCTTACACGGATCTGGACAATTATACCGAACACTATAACAGTTACTCATCTTTTATTATTGACTTTCTTTGATATTTCTAGTTAGTTAGCCTTTTTAAAATTTCTATTCATCTCTATTCCCTTCATTGTATTTTAGGGTACTTGGTGGTATAACACAATGAAATTTAGTAATAATAATGTTCTATTGGACACGATAAGATATTTTTGTGGGACATTTATGCGTTCACCCTATATGGCTATGCCTAGAATAATCAAAGTTCTCTCAAATGCCTATGAATTCAATCCAAATTTTAATAAAGAAATAGCTTGTCGACCAAGTGATAATATTGAACTACCTCCAGTAAGTTGTTTTATTTCACAGTCGTCAATCTATCTGCTTTTGTGATGATAGTAAGTATGAAAGTTATTCCAACAAAAAACTAAGATTTTATCGGACAAAAATGCTTTTTATTCAGTGTATGAGTTGTGTTAATAAACGAATGTACCTAGTTAAGTCATAAGGAAGCTTGTTGAAGATCGACTACTAGTTGTGTCCAAATTCACTGTGATATTAATGATAGACAGTGACTACCACTTGAATCCAGGACGCGCGTTTTGTCCTATTTGGGATTTGTCATCTAAATGTACTGGGTTTAAGTCTTGGTGGGAGCAACATCGCTCACTAGAAGCCAAGTGCGTCCACCTAACGATTCCCAAATAGGACAAAACATGCGTTCTGAATTCCTTTCCTAGCCACTATCCATCATTAATATCAAAATTAAAAGTATAGGCAATATCGAAGCATCCATACAGTAGCCCATATACTAGTGAAGATCGATCAACGACGCGATGTTACAAGCAACATTATCTAGTGTACGTGTGTCCAGTAAGCAATGAACCACACCTATTATATGAGAGCCAATGATACTACCTGATTGTCTGAACTGCGGTAGATGGAGCAGGGTTTGAACCCGTGACCCACCGGTGCCTAGATCAATGAATCACAGTTCCCTTAGAGTAATGCATGATAGAGATTCAACACAAATTCTGCTTTTTCCTCAGACTCTGTTTCTGTTTACCTGATGACTGGTGGTATTCTGAAGTCGTGAAAAATGATCTTTCTAGATTTTTGGTTGCTTGGATTTAGCAGATTTTATGAATCAATAAAGTGGTTTCAACAAACTCACCTTTAGGATATTTTCTTTTCTTGTAAATGGATTCAGCGTTTTTTGGTACTGTCTACCCGTTTGTTTTTTAGTTTTTCATTACTTGTAGCAAATCTTAAGGAAGCGACCATCACAATTAATGTTTATGTTGGGATATAAAAATCACAGCCTCATTAATTCCTCTGTAGGATGATACAACAACTGCAATGGGATTCTTATTTAAAAAATGACTTAGCAATGAACTAGCGTTTAAACCGTAAACAGTTTTTGTCTAGCTAAGCTATATGGGTAATGTTATCAAAATGTAAGAAGAGATAGTTATCTGCTTGTCTGCCCGTTCAGTTGGCGATAAAATGATGAGCAGTAAAATGTTTGGTCGTAACTGATAGCTGCTGCCTTGACATGTTGGTCAGGCTCACATGTTACAGTACCCCAACAAACTACACTAGCTGGAACATTTGTTCCCTCAAAGTCTTACCATGCCACAAAGGTGGTAAAAGAAAAAGCAGCCATCTTTGTAGTGTAAACTGCCACTGAGGGCAAGCTGGTACTGCTGCTAGCTGGATTGGTGTGTGACAGAAGTAAGGTAAGTGCAACGCTGATGGTGCTTTCCCTACGGAAAGGGCGGTTAGAAAAGGTCGGCCTCCGAAATAGCACACTCCTCCCTGCCCCATGGTCTTCCAGTGCCGGCGTTGTTTTTATCTATCCGGTGTTAGAACAATCACATCACATAGTGACAACCCTCAAGCAAATCTTCCGTGAGCTATGCTGTTATACAAATCTTTTTCGCTTTCGCGTAACTTAAGGAGAAGTAGCCTTTCGCAATATGTGCAGCTGGGAATTGCCTACCTCCCACACACTCCAGTAGTATTCAAGATCCAATCAAAGAAAATCCCTAGTATGCAAATCATGTTGCTTCCATATAAAATAATGTAAGGTCATACCAAGCTTACACCTTCGTAGGCTTCCTCTTTTGTCCATCTAGCTTGTATACTTCACCGCTTACATATGAATTAATATATGAAAATGAAAGTAGCGTGAAAAGTGATCTTTAAAGTTTATTAAATGATTTTGTTCAGAATGATTTCTATTCAAAATTTAAATACTTGATTTGTGATCATAGGTACCTTCCCAACACTGTTCGCGTATAATGGAATCACTATTTGAGCAATATAGAAGTTAGGTGAAGGGTACCGTCGAAGAAAGGCAAGTCAATGGATGAGGTTGTGGACTTCCATCGACTGAGATGGCTTAGACATGTGCTGTGCATATCATACCACCACCTATCTTCACGTACAATACTAGGAGAAGTTGGATTAGGTTGGAAGAGGTTTCAAGGTGGCCAGACCAAGATACGGTACCAGTGCATATAGTCTCTGACTGTTGATATGAGCCATGTAAGGAGGGAGGTGTAGACTACGTGGGATAGATGCCGGAGATGATAGGAATCAGTGGTTGATGGCTCTTTGTGACATGATTGAAAATCGATTACAATGATACAGAGGTCTTCTAAAGCTTGAGTATTTTCACTAACCTTTATCTTCAAATTAGTGATTCTCTCACACAACTTTGTCTACTTTACTATCGGTCATTTTCTATCCACCTGTTCTATGTATGCTACGGTGAAATGTGGCAACTTGAACCGATGCACTTGTTTGGGAAGTTTTACGTTGATTTTGTCTGTCTGTCTGTCTATCTATCGCTTGTTGCTGATTGAGCGAGTTTACACTCTAAAGATTGGAGAAATCATTAGTCATAGCATGCAGAAGCGAAACGCGTTTTCTTACTTACCATCTAGTAGTCAGCTTGTTTAATTTTGCCTTTTTCTGCACTAACTTTGATCAATTTTCCATTTCTCTACCTATTGTTCTAGCTAATTATGCAGATACCATTTTTCACCATATTCAAAAAAGCCATTGTTGGCTCACCATATTCAGTTAAAGCTAGAGCACTGATACATGCACATTTGGAGCGTTTAGAGCTACCAGCTAAAACTCTATATATTGGTAAGTTTATAAGTTATTCAATGATATTTTTTCTTTCCTTAGTAATTGATTTTTTATTTCACTCAAAATTATAACTAATTAAAAAGTAACTGCGTAATTAAGTATATCTTGACTGTGTCTTAAGAATACGATACAACTGTCAGTCGTTGTTGCTGCTGCTGCTGCTACTACTACTACCTTGATGTGGTGGTTGTATTTGCTCATTATGATAACCTCGCTATGTTTTTTCAGTGTTACGATATGCAGGTACAGTAAGTTCTCTGTGATGAATGGATAGTAACTTCTCCATCAGATCCGCCAACCGAACCAACACCAAGAAAAATATATCTCTTTAGATGAAGAAAGTATCTTTTGGAACAGTTGTTAACGTACAACTTTAACGACATTGATATTGTTACAGGAAAAGTTGAAGAAGAAGAAAACATCATAATTGGAAAAAGACAAGCAGTGCTCGGAAGTCACAAAAATATCACTTTTGGTAACAGTGTTCCATTTCCTAAAGGCAGGTTGGAAAGCGATGCTACAAAATAACCTGATCTGTAAATATTAGTCAGAAACATGTATTGCATTTAGTATTGCGCTACTGTATAGCCGTAGTATAGTGCTTTTTCTTAACGGTAATCAGTATCTTGGGTTATGCCACCTATACATTGTTGAAATGATGTGTTATCTCAAAGTTCACTCTGAAAAGACCACTGTCCGTTGTACAGTTCCGCTATTAGTAGTTAGAATTTTAGCGTAGAAATCAAACCTTACCATTACATATTTCTTGGTTGACAATTTTTGGGTTGTCTTGTATTTATAAATTAATGACAAAAGCAAGAAATGGGGACCATTGGATGCCAATCCAGTGACAATGTGCCAACCGTGGAACCTGAAGGTCCTTGGTTTTATCTCTGGTGAGATTACGTGTTTACACTACTGAGGAATCCGATAGTAAGACAAAACAGACGTCTAGCGCTCCCAAGTTTTCAATGGTTCTCCAGATGATGTCATTTCATGATAAACATCAACTTAAAATCAATAAGTGTTATTTTTGTTCACTTTGCAAACTCTACCTAAGCTACTTATATTTCACAGCTTTTTTTCATTTTATTACTTGGTTTTTTCCCTAAAGCTATGTGAGGAGAATGAGGGAGTAAAAGTTGTTTTTCCAGTTATTTCAGCCGTTTTGCCACCAAACAAGTTAAAATTAAGTACAGGAAAATTCAAGGAACAAAAATTAATGATGAGATTCAAGATGAATATATAATAATGTGTTCAAAGTAGAACAAGAGGCGATAAATTTCTATTCATTGATTGGTCATTAGAGAGCAACCGACCTTATGCTGTCTAGTATTAAGTGCTTACTGAATTTCCTTGGTCATCTGGGAATACGGTCACGAAGCTACGATTTATGGCGGATTGCTTCTAAGCACTTGACATCAGTAAAGAGTGCACCATGATGCTGAGTTCTAGCTTGGCGAGTCCATTTCAGAAACGATCTATAGAATTCGTTCAACACTCAGGAGTAGACAATACGAAATTGGTTACTCTCCAGTAACTATGTGGTGCCTGTCATCTGGTCCTATGGAAAACGTAAATAACTCGGTGGTAATGTCGCTCATTGAAACACTAATTCTGATTTCTGATAAAGGGATATCAGTTACATCCACTTCGCAGACACATCCTGGTGACGAATGCCGATAACCACGGAAGCTATACTCAAAGGTTCCACAAGATGTTTCTATGTTCCAACTTATGCAGTTTAAAGTATGGAAATTTCCATTGTAACTACCTTCCTTGTCTAAACTTAAGTAAATCAAGCAAGCGAAAATCCATGTAGAAACTCGTACAGAAGTTAATGAGAGGGCCAACAGAATAAGTGAAATGCATGAAAAAAGGGAATAAATAAATAGAGGTTCACAAAAACATTCAAGGTTTTGAAAATGCTAAAGATGTACTCCTCAAGCTTCAAAACCTGTTGACCGACTTGCTTTGCCTTCTTAGCATACCATACATTACCCCAACATTACTAACTTTGTGGTTCCACTACGTGGCAGCAATGATACATCGGCATACCTACCCACAAAAAATGGTGTATTCTTTGTTTATTTTATCAGTTTGCTGTCGGGTAGTCCCATAGATACTTTTTATGCGCCAGTTTGACCGCTCTGTATTGTCCCCCATCTCACTCATACTGTCATTATGAAAGATAGTAGTTTTGCGCACGTAGCATATCCTCTTGCAAGCATCGTACTTCGTATAGCTTAACAAATCTATCCCATCCTCCTATCAGTCAGTCACATTGGCGAATTCGCACAATGTAATAAGAAGACGGTGGTTATATGAGAAATATGATGTATTTGCGCAGCACATTTCAAACAATTTGGTCACACCCCAGCTGAAGAATTCTGAAAGAGTACGTTTTTACCATGCTACCACATAAAGGGGGGATCTTAAGAAGAAGGTTTAATTCAGTTGTTAAAAAGCCTACTATGCAGCCAAGCTTGATATTATAGAGAAGACGAAACCTATGCTTCAAAATAAACCTCATCATTATATAGATGACTACATCATATCCCGCTGTTGTATGCTAATTTACATGTGTGTATGATGATATATAAATTTGGAGGAGTAGTGGAAATATGAAGTTGAGGGTGGTGGGACATATCCCTAATTGACTGGAAAAGAAGTTACATTTAAAGAGTCCGATAAATACAGGGAGTAGATAGGCGTCTTCGTCCATAAGTAAGCAGAAACAAGTCCCAGGATTGATCTCGAAATAGCCTTTAGACTATTCTATAAGAGCTGTCAGGACCGTATACTTAGGTTCATTGAAGCCTTAGCTGTACGAAAGTTCAAACTTTCTTTGTGTATTCAAAAATTTTCATTTCACCTTCAATCAACACCCAGTATCAATACTAATCAGCCGAACCATGGCTATCTCAGATAGTCACAATGATATTCAAAACTGTTTTTCATTATAAACATCCAGACCATTATTATTATTATCATTTGTCCCTTGGGTTCCTAATGGAACATAGGGCTTCAGTAGCACGTCTCCAGTGAACTCTGTTCTCTGTTACCTTTTGAACCTGGCTCCACGACAGCCCATAAGCTCCCATTTCCTCCTCACACGATCTCCATGTCACCCTGGGACGTCCAACTCGTCGCATCCCATGGGGATTCCACTCGAGGGCCTGACGCGTGATGTCCCCAGTCGGCCTTCTCAGTGTATGCCCAATCCAATCCATCTCCACTTCCTTCTACCGCATATTTGTTGAGCCACAGGTTCTTGGTTGGTTCGTCGGCAGTCCAGAGTTCCTTGTTGCTTATTATTTCTGGCCATCTGAGCTTCAGTAGCGAGCGTAGGCAGTTGTTGATGAATGTCTGTAGTTTGTTGAAAATGCCTTTCGTAACGCGCCATGTCTCTGGATCATAAAGAAGCACGGAATTGACTGACGTTGGTGTTGAAAATCCGGATGTTTTTCCACATGCTGAGTGCAGAAGATCTCCACACTGGTTTCAGGCTAATGAATACCTGTCCTGCTTTCCGATCTCGGCTGCTTTGGCGTCCTCATCTGTGCCGCCTGTAGTTGAAACAGTGCTGCCTAGAAAGGTGAGTGAAAAAGGCTACTTCCTTTAAGTTTCTCCTATTGATGGTGATTGGAGTTTGCTGTTGTTAGTTGGGTATCTTCATCACCTCTGTCTTCTCTATATTCACCTGAAGTCCCGTCTTCCTTCGCTCCCCTACCTCTTCTGTCAACTTGTTAATTTTCGCCTTAGATCTTCATGATCCAGTCGACCACAATCAGGAATATCATGGGTGATAGTAGGCAGACTTGTTTCACTCCTACTCCTGTCTTCACTTCAAAAGCATCACTGAGCTTCCCATTGTGAATTACTTGGCATGTGGCGTCTTCATATAGTTGTTGAATGAGGCTGATAAAGATTTGCCGTATTCCGTAGTGTTGGAGCAGTTTCCAAATTACTTGCCGATCAACGCTGTCAAAAGCCTTCTCAGAGTCGATGAAGTTGAGGTAGAGGGTTGACTGCCATCCTATACTCTCTTCTATGATGATACATAGTGTGGCGTTGCAATTTAGTCTGCACATGATTTGTACTTCTTAAAGCCTGCCTGTTCAGGTTTTAGTTTTGAATCCAGTGCACCCTTTAGTCTCTCCAAGATGATGTGGCATAATATTTTGCCTGGAATGGACAGGAGAATGATTCCGCGCCAGTTCTTGCAAAGACTTAGGTCTTCCTTCTTCGGGAGTTTGACAAGGTAGTCCTTCTTCCAATCGCCAGGTACTTTCCCTTCCTTCCACACCTTCTGCAACAGTGGTGTGAGCATGTCCTCCGTTGTCTCTGCGTCTGTTTTCAGTACTTCTGGTGGGATCCCGTCTGGTCCTGCTGCTTTCCCGCATTTCAGTAGCTTTAAGGCGCTCAGGACTTCGACTTTTGTTGGAGGATTTGTGTTCACTTGTAGTTCTGTGGCTGCAGGTTGTATTTTTGGACGAAGTGCAGGTGGTGGTGGTGGTCGATTCAAGAGTTTTTTGAAGTGGTCGGCGCATCGTTTCCTTTGTTTCTCTTCTTTGGTAGTTAGATTCCCTTCATCATCTTTTATTGGTTTCATCTGTGTTGATCACTACCTTTCCAGATACTAACCTAGTTATTTGATCCAATGTGGTTAGTTCTCTCCTACCTGCAGCCTGTTCTGCTTCACTTGTCAGTGTTTTGTAGAAGTGTCTTTTGTCCTTTCGCGCACTCTTCTTCACTTCTTTGTCCAGTGTAGTGTTTTATACATTGTGGTCAGTTCCTCTTGTCGTTGAGCATCCTTGCACTGGTTTATCTTCTGCTTCACCATCCTCCTCCCCCTACTCTATCAGCTTCCTTGTGTCCATCGAGATCCATTCCTTATCTTCTTTCTTCTTCCTTCCTAATACTGCTGTGCAGGTTTCTTTCCACATAGCTTTCAAAGAGTTCCAGTGTTCTTCCACACTTGTTTCTTCAGGGATGTTGCTCGATGTCTCCCATTTTGTCTTAATGGCTGCCGTGAAGATGTCCTTTGTAGTTTCGTCCTTCAGTTTCCGATTGTTGTACTTGAACTGTGGTCTATCACCAACTACTTTGACGGTTTTCAACTTGATTTGGAAGGTTCCTTGCACTAGATATTGAGTGGTGTCAACCTACATCTGCTCCTCTTCTTGATCTGATCTTGTGTCAAGTAGGCCGCGTCTCCATTTCCACTTTCTTGAGATTGAGATGAAATCGATCTGAATTTTAGTGTGTCTTAGTGTCTGGTGAAATCCATGTCGCTTTGTGGATATCCTTATGCTTGAACACAGTGCCTCCAATCACCAAATCGTTGAATGTACAGAATTCTGCAAACCATTCTCCATTCTCGTTCATCACCTCAGTGAGCGCTTCTCGACCCATGATCATGGTTAGTTCTCTTCCTGTGTTGCCCGCTCCTAGTTTGGCAATCATGTTGCCCATTAGAATTTTGATGTCGCCAACTGTGGTGAGGTCTTGTCCAGTGTTGATTGCAGTTGTGTATAGAATTCCTCCTTCTTCTCTTGATGTGCATTATTTGTGGGTGCATAGTGTAGTATTGAATGATTGTGACTTTCCTTCCTTTTGAGTTGAACTTTGCTGTTATGATCCTGACGCTAGAGGAGATTGGTTCCCACTGTATGAGAGAGAGTCTTCGATGCTGTAGGGGTCATCATGATAGCCACTGCATAATTCAGTGTGCTATGCTCGTGGTTGTCGTCTGGGTGACGAAATCGGAGTAGATTATTGATTCTCCAGTTGACAGTTTGGAGAGTCCACTTCCATTTCACCTGCTTTCGCAGATTCCTAGCACTTCAGTGCTATACCTTCTTATCTCTTTCGCAATCTGTGCAGCCTTGTTAGGTTCATACATGGTGTGGACATTCCATGTCCCCACGTTTACTTTCGCTTTCATCGAGAGAGGATATATCGGCCGACTGGCTTCCCGAAGGCTTTCACCAACTGGCGTCATTTCGCCTCTCCGATTCCAGCGCGGAATAATTTTGTTTTTATTTTTTATATTTCGTTTGTGCTTTGAAGTTTATTTAGCGGTTAGATTTGTTTTACGGGGTAGGGTTGCTAGTCCTATGCCCAACCTTCCCTGTATACCCGGGCTTAGGACCGGCTAGTAACTAGTGAACTAGTTAACCAGGCGAGGTTATCCAGACCATAGTTGTTACGAATGTTCTGAAAGAAGTTGAGCACGGAGTCAAGTTTAATCACTATATAAGTAAGTTTTAATATAATTCCAGAAAATCAAAAACAAAATTTTTCTGAACGTTTCGTGATGTATGCCACAGCTTGTTCAGCAGAATATTCGAATTTCTTATTAAACATCAAAATAAATACTGTCAAATGGTACATGTAGGAATTTCTGTCTTTACGCCATTGGTTAGTTGATATATTGTTCAGACTGATTGTTCCCAGTTGGTCATTGTAGATTCATACAGTCTTTATCATTAAAAACAACTCAGTGATCAATGTGTGTAAATGTTAAGGAGAATGTATGTTGTTCGTTGTTTATTGTACAAAAATATGGGCGACTTTAGAGGCCACCCTAGCAAAGATTGAAGTGACCAATTAGGTTTCGTCATTTCAGCTGGAAAGGCAGATTTTCATAGAATACAAAAGTCTAATTGATTATTTCAGTGGTTGTTAGGGTGGCCTTTAAAGTCACTTATAAAAATATGAAAAACGCTCATTTATGAACAGTAATTGATCCATATTTTGTTTTTCAAAAAATCCAATTGGAAATGGTGACCTTTTTTTTAATGTTTTTGTCTGATTAGAGTCTGCCAGATAGGTGACAAATCTGTTCCTTCCTTTCTGTTTAAAGCATTTGTTGACGTTAATGTTGGCAGAGTTTGTAAGGTCAATCTTTCTTTATGTGAATGAAAACCCATCCCTAACATGTTAACATTAACTAAATCAATGGCATACATTGCTATTACTGATCTCTTTTTCAAACTTTTCAATCCCACTTCATACTTTGCTGGATGTTTGCTACATAACCTATATTCATTCACTCTAATTTTTAGCTGTCTATAACTTTCACCAATATAATTGACCTCACCTATTTATATAGGGTTTTTTCCTCACCTTAAAGCTTCTTTGGTAATCTCTACCTCATTTTATTACCAAGGTAGCTGTGAAAATGTATTATTCCTCTTTATTATTACTACTTTTCAAAATCTTGTTATTATCCATATACAATCCGGAGATCACTGGTTCGAATTTCGCCCCATCACCTTCAATCACCACCCAGTATCAATACAAGTCTTCCAAACAACGGCTGTCTTAGATAATCAGACTGATTATCTTAATTTAATTGCCTCACCTTACTCTATTTTCACCGTAGACAAGTAAATGTATAGTCAGATGGTAAATCGAATGGTTGTGGCTAGCAGAAGAATCCAGGACGCGCGTTCTGTCTTATTTGGAACTCGCCAGCCGGGTGTACCTGCACCCCAGTGATATTGTTGCCACTGAGACCTGAACCTTGTACCCATCACTTCAAACCCCAAGGCGTTATCCACTATGCCATGGAGGAACGATAACCCCTTCTTGTACAACGAGTAGTAGTTATTACCAAATATTGACATACTTGTTATTGTCCGTTGTTTTGTTGGATTGATTTGTTCGACCTCTATTGGCATATGGGCTCCTATGCGGATACGTCGATACTGCCACAACCAACCAATTTATCATAATTAACATTCAGGCAATATCGAGGTATCCGCATAGGAGCCCATATGCCAATAGAGGTCGAACAAATCGATCCAACAAAACAATGGAGAATAACAAGTATGTCAATAAATAGTAATATAATCAGATGATTCTAAATCTATTGTGTAAATATATCACATTTCTCAGTTAATTTCCATCATCTTATTAGAATATGCAAATTCACCTATCTTGCTTAATAAATTCCCAGTTCTTCCTTGTTGGTTAAGTCAAATATGAACTGATGTTTGAAGTCTAGTAAGTTGGTTAGCCTACAAGAATCTAGTTAGACGGTGTACATAACAGCGCAGTACATATTGTTTTAATAGATTTTACTTATTTTATCTGTAGCAAACAATGGCGTAGAACATGTAGAAATAATCTAGATATCTTTCCACTTTATTTTTACACTTTATAGATAAACAATACATTATTAAGCATTCACCTCGACTAATTGATGAAATGATCAACAGTTTATTGTATGTTTTGGCTGTAGCAATGGATGAAGGTTTGTTAAATGTCTATCCCATTTATATATTGGTATTATTCTGCTTATCATTTTAACTTTTTCTCCTCGTAAGGTGTTATAAGTAGTAAATCAGTTAATTGATGATGAAAATCATCAAGTTTGTATTCATTTTCATTATCCGATAAAGTGTTGTTGTATAATGATTATTCGTTGTTTACAAGTACACCTGTGTATACTTTTTGTCATCTAATAATGTGTATGGTGAGCCAATGAGATTGTTCTTGGAATTATGTTTATCTAGTATTAATGTAGCATGATCTATATGCGAGATGAGATAGACTTGTGTTAAATTACTTGCTGTCGATTTCTTAGAAGGTAATTGACAGGAAAATGTTGTGTTTGTTGGTATATATTAGCAAGGAGTATCCATAAACTTCAAGGAGGATGATTCTGCTTTATAGGCTTTCATGCACATTTCTTAAAGTTTTAGTCATAGACTGCGCTACCGAATAGGCGACGGGTGATAATGGTTGTAAATGCAGAACAACAACTTTTATATTATTGTTTGTAAGTCTCCACCGTTGCTTGGACCGAATTGACCGACCACTATTGGCATATGAGTTCCTGTGCGGATACCTCGTTTGTGCTGGGATTTCAAGTCTAGATATTAATGATGAATGGTGGCTAGCAGTGCAATTCAGAATGGAAGTATCAGCTAGATGTACTTGCTTTCCAGTGACTAATAGTGCTCCTACTAACCCTCAAACTCAGGGTCAATCGCTTCAGACGCCAGGCCGTTTTCCACTAGGCAACAGAATCACGATAGCTATTCCTTGTGCCATGGATATAGTATAGCTTGTAAGTCTCCATCGACTCAATTTTCAGATATAGTTTGTGTCGGTTAGAAGTCAGTGACAAGACTTACAAAAGAACAGAACAACAAAGAATTCCTGTTAACTGTCACCAAATATCTAACGCTAAATGCAGCTCATTCTCAGGTCGTGTCCCTTGCTTAGTGGGCATGGTTCACTTATTTGGTGTATGGAAGCTATTTAGCTCGTTGTTTACCTTTCCTTCTGGTAAGATAGTAATTTTTCTTATTTTATCCTATGCTGTGTCATTCACACTCCCACTTTTGCTTACTGAACTTGAGATTAGGATAGTGAAATGAAAATGTCTGAAGAGTATTTCGGGAAGATATTACTGACGGTAATAATAATTAGGAAATTTACTGTGTATTTCATTTATTTACCAAAGATCCTTATATTATGATAAAGCAGAACAAAATTTTCGTACTTGTTGAACGACTACAAAGAGTTCTTATCCTGTTCTGTATTAAAAACACTTCCCTTATCTTGACTTTGATCGTTCAGTGTGCCTTCAAAGTTGATACTTCTTATGATATTGGTTTCAGTATTCTGCATTGAGAAGTAAACAGTTGTCAATAGATGAAGGAATTTCATGTTTGAGTGTAAACAGCATTTGATATCCAAATTTTGTGAGAAAACCCCAGAAGAAATTGGAAATTGTAGATGAAGTACTAGAATGCTTGTTTGGGTGTATTTACTCCATGAAAGGTATCTACTAGAAAAGGAATAATTATGTCAGTGGTTTAATCGTTTCAACCATCCAGCTCAAAGAACACGATATGATTAAAATTGTTATTCATTTTGTAGATGAAATACCTATCACTGTGCAACATTCCTAGTCGGCAAACATTTTGAGTACACGTCGATAACTTTAACCTAATGCCGTAGTAAAAATAATTTTGGGCGTATTTAGCGGAAACCTATACATTTACTACACTCAGTTGACGAGTCCGAAATAGAACGAAATGCTCTTGCTGGACTCCACTGCTACCCGCTGTCCATAATTAATATCTATCTTTAGGCATTTAATCATTTTCGTTTCTAAAAGGACACTTTTAGTGTTAGTTTGTGTTTGACAGCTTTTGAGCCATCGCCTACTCAAAACACTATTTTCAATACAATGATATTGGTTTTTAGTGTTTCTAAATGTAGGGTTAATTGAAAAGCTGAATAAATGTTTACTAAAGTATAGCCCTAAGAAAGATGCTGGTATTGATTGAAAGTTGTCATTTATGAGACTATTTCGTGTCAACAAATTGCTGTCAAAATAAAACTATTCACAGTTAAACACAGTGAACTAATCAACTGTCAAATGAAGAATCATTGACTAGACAGTAAGTTATGCTTAAGCGTTTATTAGTTACGATTATGTCGGCATTTAGGGCGATATGTGCAGTCATGGTTTGCGGGTTGGAAATCGGATGATTACATCCGAGAGCTATAGTTTTTTGTTTTATGAAATAGCTTTGGCACATGAGATTAAACACATTGTCGATTACCATTTCAACGGCTGATCCACATGCCTGACGAGATTTGGTCAGTGAAGTAATATCACTCACCCTACTTCACAAGATGGATGTTTGTCCATTGCCTATTAAATTAGATTTGCACTTGTTTATTGAATGATATTGATTTAAAATTACATTAACTTCTTGTTATTACATATTATACCATCGTTAATCCTTAAAAAAAAAACTTTTTATTGTTGAATTACTTTAGCTAACTCAAGGCACAAAACACCACAACATTTAGCTACTATCGAAAATTGTATGCATTTAATTCCTATGCTTGTTCAAGCGCTTACTGATAATGCCTCTCCATTGCTTCAACTTCCGCATATTACACAAACTCAACTAAGACATATGGCTGCTAAACAAGTGAGTTCAATGTTGTTAATGTTTTTGGTTTAATATCAACATAACACTTTTTTTTGGTTTGTTCTCCTTTTGATATTGTAAATTTGAAGATAAATCGACAAAAATGTAAAACAAGTTTCTATCAATGAAAATTTTCATTTGACTGTAAGTTGCATGAACAGTAAATGAACGCGGCTATTCTTATGATAGGATTTCCTCCCCTCTATCTCTCTCTTTGAACTATCGGCAGATTTTACTGTTCAATCAATATCAACATTGGGCCTAGTATTACTGCATAACAATCCAAGTTGCTATATTTCACATCAGAATATCGACACAGAACCTCGCACACAAATGCATCGTTTCGAATTGCCACATTTCACAGTCGCATGCAAAAAGTAAGCGGATAGAAAAAGAACGATATCAAAGTGGACAGTGGTGTTATAGGGAGAGAGGAAATTTAACAGTTGGGGTTAGTTAAAATATTCAAGCTTTAGCAGGTGTCATTGAGTGGATGCATGTACACTACTGTAATCGATTTTCAGCCATGTCACAGAGTCATCAGACACACTGATTCCTATCGTCTCCGGCACCCACGCTACGTAGTCTACACCTTCCTCCTCACATGGCTCATACCAACAATCAGAGACTATATGCACTGGTACCATCTAAGTCCATGGAAGTTCACAACCTCATCCATTGGCTTGTTTTTCCTCGACGGTACCCTTCACTTAACTTCTACATTGCTCAAGTGGTGACCCCGGCATACGCGAGTAATGCTACGAAAACGTCCAAGGTCAAAGACTTGTAACCGCTTCATATATTCTACTGTTAACAGCCATGTTTCGCAAGCGTATAGCAGGACAGAATGGACTGCAACGTACCATGGCCAACGAAGATGTCACATAGAGAAATGGATAGGAAAATAGTCAAAAGCAATAGAAATTCTTAAAATGAAAATGAAATTTGATATAATGTTTAAACTGAAGACAATGGTTGAAGATCGATTCTGAGTCATACCACAAATTATTCAACCAGAGATTTCGTTTATCACGTGGACTTCAAAATGGAAGTCCACATTCCCCTATACGTTTCAGATAAACAGTCAGAGACTTCACGGACTGATGCCATATTTTAGTCTGGCCACCTGTTACCTTTTTTCCAGCGTAAAGCTATTTCAACGAAAATTGTTTAATCGAACAGACTAGGCATGTGTTATACATGTCCCAGTCATCTAAGTCGATTAAAGTTCACAGTTACAAACATTCTCTATATCAACACGTTGCAAAACTTAGATTGTCTATGTGTAATATGTATATAACTAATTCATTTGAGTTCTGAATTTGTCGCGGAATTTATGACCTGCCGCTAGGAAGATAGAATAAGTTGGTAACTAACGTGTGTTAGGTATTTTTGTGATGTTATGATCTATTAGTGATCATTTGATAGTGATATACTTACACTGAACTAAAAATAATTTCATTCTGCTATATTTTCCGCAACTAATAACATTGAAGTTTATGTATTTCATTTCACTATTTCAGAGTAGACATATCCGTAGAACTGTTGCTCATTAGCTTGAGCAATTTGACTCATAGTTATTAGCTTTTTCATTCAAACTCCTCTCCACCAACTTCTACTTGAGTAATCAGTCAGTGAAATAAACGATCACGCATGGGTTAACAGCAATTCTGAGCTTAGTATCTAAGTTACACTGAATTGTAGTGTTTTTGTCCCGGTACTCACTGTATGCTGAGTTTGCCTTTTGAATAAACCATCAAATGATGATTTGTATGTCTTCTAATTCAACATTAGTATGTGTATCTACTTGATTTCATTACATAAATAAAGGATCTGTATCGTTTCAAGCCAGCTCCTATTGGGTCATAGCTGCACAACTAATAACCAGAAGTTTGTGTTTACCTACTACTTGAATTTGGAATTTTCGCCATATTCCGTATCGACTTAAAGTTTAATTCTTACTTCCTGTATTACAATACTGCAATAACGTATATCTCGTGTGGATTAAACATTCTTGCTTCAACTTTTACTCAAAGATATGGATTAGTGTTTTCTTAAGGAAATCTTTTTGATTATCCTATAGAAAGCATTAGACCCTTAATATACTCATCACTAACATTTCAATTTCTAGTCAGTTATTGGGTGTTCTGGTACTGCTGCTGTTCAATTGAAAAGATATTTGTTGAAACAAAAATAATTAAAAAGCCATTATAGTGGAAATTGAACTGTCATAAAGCATTTTGGTAAACACAACTTATGGGTATCGTACTTGTTGCTAAGACAAAAATTAGTAATTCTTAGGAGAACATTCTACTCAATAGTCTGCTGATTGTTAGTTTGAGTTCAGTGTCACTTGTTTATGGTCATTCTAGGTATTTATTTGAATCCTCATAACAATACTGAAGACGTATAACTGAAAGAAAGTCTCACTGTAGGCTTAAGAAATGTTTTCATTTCGATTCTAAGTGATTTTTTCCTGAAGTGACCAAGTGAATGATTATGGTAAATAAGCGAAGGATATTAACGCGATGAAACACTTGAATTGAATATGAATAGCTACTTTTCTCCCTCAGAACCTTATAACTTCACTGGACCTCAAAATCAGCAGACAAAGACCAGCCCGTGACTGCAAAGAAAACACTACGTATAAATGCGTATATGCATGTGTCTATATATATGTACGTGATATGAGTATGCATATGTTAATGTATGTAAACTCTTGTGTTGTTCTGTGTGTACATGTATGGTATACTTGGTACCTATCAGTATGCGTGAGTGTATATGAATAGACAATATTTGATCATTTGTTACTATGTGTATATTGATGGGAAGTGTGAAACGTTTATATGCATATCCCATCAATATGCATGTAGCACACAAGCAAATACGTTTTTTGGCCTCTTGGTGAAGAATTCTAATGTATTCCGCTCAATTTATACACAGTTCTCATGAATATATAAAACCATTAAGTCAAAAGTTAAATACTTTAATTTGATTGGACAACTATGGAACAAATTGTCCAATAAGGTTTTTCCTGACTACACAGTGGCATGAAATAAAAATTTAAATCTAAAACTCTTACCTTAGTGGCTAATGACTTAAAATGTTGATTTGCATTTAAGCCACTTCTTATCACATCTGCCAACCTACGGCTTCTTCATTTTGTGTGCGTATATTGCAGCTTGTATCACACATTAGTTAGAAATACGAAATCCACAGCTAACCGTTAGTGATGTTCCGTAATTATATGACACAAATGCGTCGTACTAATTTTTCTGTTTGTGGAGGTTTACAAACTATTGTTTGTCTGTCCGTTTTCAGCAAGCGCTAGACCTAAGTTTATGCTTACTGGCTTTTATGGACACTCATTGTCGTCAGTTACTTAATGTTGGTGATCGCCAACTAGCATGGAAGTCAGCTCCACTACTTCCTGCCGAAAAATCTCGTAACATCAAACACTAAAGGACAGTGTACCACAGTGTTGCGTCACTTTGATTCATGAACACATTGGCAAACTTAATCGATGGACCCCAATTACTGCTAATCACTGAGAAAAAGATAGGCACAATGGTGAACAATTCGTGTAGATTTTTGTTTATCATAACATCCTAATCCATTGATTATTTTGATCTTTTTTCTTCTCAGCGCAATATTAAATCTATCCGTCAGTTGATTAGTTTACCAGAAGACAAACGCAGAGCACTTTTACGAAGTCTTTCTGATGAACAGTATCGTGATATCCTCATAGTCTCTTCTTCAATGCCCTCTTTGGAGATATCTTATCGATGTGAAGTCAGTTGCAAATATTTATTAATTGTCAACAGTTTAATTTTTCTTTACCCCATCATCTTGTCACCACCTAGTTTCTTCCGTCCCTTGATTCCTGTCACTGCTAACAGTTAAGTACTCGTGAGGTAATGAAAATCATGCAAATTGCTAAATGTCGTTATCATAGCTAGTTAGGATAGATAGTTCAAATTATACGTATTCGTGGAGTTTTAGTTCACTGATCTAAGGGGTTGACTTTCCAACAAGTGATTCCTCAGGTTTCGAATCCTGTTCTGCCTACCAACCTCTAGCCAGCCAATTAGTTTCATAACCCATCATCATCATTATCGACATTGGGCTAGGCATTACCTTGTAACTATCCAAGTCGCCACACCTTATATCAGCTCATCAAGTGGCAGAGCAGTAAAAAAAGAGATGAAGAAAGAAAGAAAAATCGGTCGAAAGCAGTAGAAAGTAGTAAAACAGTGGAAGGAGGAATGCGAAACCGCTGAATTTAGTATAGTGGTTAAGATGAACATAAGTTGGGGGGGGGGGGGGGAGGGTACATATGTACCACTGATATTAATTCTAAGCCATATCACCTAGATTATCCAAACACTGATTTCTGTTATCACAGGGAACCCTAGTAAGCCATCATACAACAAGTGTGGCTCATTGCCTACTGTATGAACATGCATGTGACCAGTGAGTTGGATTTCATAGTACATATCTTCATCTAGTCTCCTTATTTACATTTAGCTAATCATCCTTCTACATACCTGTATGATAAATCATATGCTACAAGCAATGAGTCTGAAAAATTACAATTAGAGATTAACTGAATAATTTAGAAAAAGATGGCAGTTTGTTGTAAAGTTTTGTTTGCACTTTTATCGGTTGCTTAGTCAGGCAATTAAGCATTGATTATCAGCTGTATCTGACTGTTAACAGACTATTCATGAATATCGTTGCTATCGCCAACTCTGTGGTGGAAGTAGATAGTTATCACCAAAACAGTTGAATATGTGTTGTGTAGTTAAAATGTAATGCGTTGTTCACATGCTTAGTATGTTCAGAATGCGTTCCACTCCTCTTAAATATCGAAAGATGCCGGAGGACTGGTCTACAGTGGCTTTTACCTTTGAATACATTGACTCTGAAGGACTAGTTGCTGACTATCCATGTTCTGCACAGCATACGTCATAAGTTCATGACGTTTGTATGTGAGAGATCATTATATATGGTCTTGACTGAGTAGTTTTCTGCAAAAACGTCCCAGACAATGCAGTTACGAAACTACCAAACTGTAAGGAATATCAGCGCGAATCGTGCCAAATAGATTTCAAGTTGATAGTCCATTTTGGTGGTATAATCGCTTCGTCCAAGTTACCCAGTCACTTTGATCTAGCTTACTGGAATCTGCAGATCAGTAGAAGTGGCTTCTGACTATTCTGCTGCTCTTTAGTGTAAGTGTTTGTTGTGTGTATCAAACTGCACTACATATTTGATACTATTCTTTAAAGCAAAATTTACTTATCTGATAAATAACTGACTTCTTAATTGAACATCCGATGGGACAAGGCTCAATATGAACATTATTCGACGACCTAATAGCTCACAACGTATACGCATACAGTTTACAACTAGTCACAAATATATGACTAATCAGTTAAAACCAAGTATAACCTACTGGATATTTAAACGACTATCACATTGGGTTTGTAAAGCATACCAGCAATGAGTAATGAATAAAAGTACAAAAAATATTTTATTAAAGCTTCCTGAAAACATAAAGAGTGATCTTTTTAGTTGTAATCATCCTTGTTCCATATTGTCACTTATTGCATCGCGTGCTTGATGAAAAACAGGGAATAAGTTGTCCATTAGTGTTCCGGTATCCTTTGTAGCCTGATGCCGGCTGTTATTGAAGTAGACAGGAACTGTCACCACTGCATCAGTCATTGTCTTATTCGGGTATATCTTAACCACCTCTTTCATCTTCGTCAGCACCATTGACAAAATCTCCTCTGCGAATAGTGTCTTGTCTTTTGTACTGAACAAGGACATTAGATTTATCACTTTCATGAACAACTTCAAACGACCAATGTTTCATATCACTCTGCATCGACGGGTCATCGAATCACTGACCGATCAGCTGCTTCACGTCGAACACTGTTCGTGGGATTGATCTCCACGTGGTTCTTTGGTGCATTATCAAACAGAAGAACAGTACTTATGAATGCCAAATAACTCAGCGTCATACGATTCCCTTGATTTTTTTCATGAACCTCCACCTTACCATGCTGGAATACCCCGACACTCAAGTATGCAGTACCAAGATCAATTCCAATTGCATTTTTCATTTTGTGTGGGTTACGGTAGCGATACAATTTTCGTTTAGTATAGCAAACGTTTAGCAAAATCCAAGTAAACAACGTCAAATAAGGAACGACGGAGACACGAAGCAACTGAATAAATCTGGTCTATCGTTGAACACTCGAGGACTTTGAACATTCTCTCAGGTAAATGAGAGACCGACAAGCTATATTTTTCAATAGGCAATCGCGAGAGAATATTGACCACTTACTCATTGAGATGTTCATTTTGGCTGTAAAATTGGTTATAATTCCTTTCCTCATCACTACGCGTACGACTAAACGGTTTTGTCAAGCGTAGGCTGTAGTCTGAATAAAGTTTGAGTGTCAGATATTTTTCAAAGCGATGGAGACTGTTGCTCGAAATATCATTCTGTATCAGGCTAACCGTGGTTGCTAAGTCAGTATAACGGAATTGTTGGGAAGCAATAACCTGTTTAAACTTCAGTACACACTGATGTAGGTCCATTATTGGGATTTCACACATATATTACCTTCGTAACGGGAGTATCAGAAATTGGGACAAAACTTTATGTATGAATTTATTGTTTTTATCAATTCCTATAGGTGTTAGATGATGATGATCCTAGTATTTGGCCTTTCAGTATGGTCACAGTCACTGTCCTGCTTAAACGTACTCCACTCTTAGACCCGAATGCAGTGAACAATGCAAGTGTCAATGGGAATGGGACATCCCTATCAGATATAGGTTATTTCGATGGTGGACAAACAATGCGACTTGACTGGAATGCCTATAATGACTCAGCTGCTTCAAACTCGAAATTTTATCCCATAGCAGATGTCCATGGAGCAGAATCCTCGAAATCGTTAAATTATGATGATTATCTTGGGGATGAAGATAAAGTGGTAAGTTGATGCGGGTATTTCCACGCTTGCACGTCTTATTATTCCACCTTTTTATAAGCATAGAGATTTTGTTTTTCCATAAGAGTTTTTATGTCATTCGATTCGTGATGGCAGCTTTGATACACACTCCATTTGGCGGAATTATAAACTCTAATACAAAAAGTTTGTGAGATAATAGAAAAGATTTGTAACTCAGGATAAAGAAAGTAATCACTTGGGGTTCTCTAAGTTCTAAAGTTTGTTCTTGGACGTTTCATCACCATGCTAGGAGACTTCAGTAGCATTTACTTCATAAAGAAGTTATAAAACGTTCCAGAATAAACAAACCTCATAGCTTAGAGAACACCAGTCAATTAACAAATGGTGTCTCATCGCCTAATGTATGCATATGTTTAGTTAGTTATACCTTTATTCATTTCTCTTTCAAACTGTGATAACTTTACACGTCATGGCGTCTTGTAAGTGAAGTGAACTATCATCCAGGCTGCGGTCATAAGTTCATTGGAACTGCTTACCTTTAACTAGAAATATGATTTGACTATATGGAAATCCCTTTCAATAGACGACATAGTTCTTTAATATAAAGCTCAACTTGTTCTATGTACAATGTGTACAATTTCCGTATTATTGCAGCCGCGTATACACACGAATCACACCTGTGCTGATACATTTTAATTATTGAGATTTGCCTATGAGAATGAACATTTGACACATAATCCTTTTTATTGAAGTAGTAATATCTTGTAAGAAATAAATTATTTACTCTGGATACCACTATAATAGCACTAACGTTCTTCCCCGTAAACGCTTTAGCCACTGAATGGTAACTGATTTGTCTGTTTTATCCTAAGTGCTGATCACAGTGTGTCTCTCACGTTTGAAGCTAAGTCACGTGTACACAATCCAATTCCAATGGAGGCATGGTCATGATGCCTTCAATCAAGTGGTTAAGTCTCAATACAAATTCAGACAGACAGAAACAAAATCAGTACAGAACACTGCACAGAAGTGCATGAATTCAACTTACCACATTTCACAGTAGCATGCAAAAACCAAGTGGATACAAAAAGAATGATATCAAAGTAGACAAAGCACATAGACGACTGTTGACTAGCGTCAAGCCGAACAGTGCACTTTCTGTCCTACAAACCAGTGCTATGCCTACAGCAACACCAGCAGTCCACGAGTGCTTGCCATCGGGACTGCGGATACTCAAGGTGAACTTTGAAGACTCATCGCACTAGTCAGGTGAGGTCAATGTTATAACCATACTTGGGTTTTGCATACGTGTCTCAGAGACAGTATACATCGATGGTTCGAGATTTCAGAGTTCTGATGAGTGATGTCTGCTTTCCGATATGGCGTAGGACTCAGATGTTGAAAGCTTCAATATAAAATCGACAGGCAGGTGTTTAGCAGTCTAGGAATACGGTTTCGACGACTTTGACCGTTGACCGTGACCTCAGAGTGAGAGGTGGGGAAGGTGTAAGAGACTTAATCTTAGTATCAGGAGGTGAAGGTAAAGAAGGAGACATAGTTGGAAGGAAAAGTTTATTTTTGATTAGATTCTGTGCTACTGGAAGCATGCGGGCGGTTAGCACTTTCTGGCAGCCCACACTGTGAAAGTTATTTCAGCAGAGTGCCTGAAGGATAGGAGGGAAAAGATCTGTGTGCCTATCACACAGCCTTTTACGAATTGTTGGTGTGAGATTTGATTGCTCTAACGCCGGATAGCGAAAACCCACACCATCGGCACCAAAAGACCATGGGTGGGGCAGGGAGGAGTGGGCTGTTTTTGGGACCGACCTTTCCTAACCAACCTTCTCGTAGGGAAGGCCGCATCAGTGTGGCAGTGCTGGTTATCCAAGGGAAACATACATACCATCCAGCCAGCAGTACGACTTCACCTTTAGACCCCCATCTTTGTGCAGTAATTTACCCTACATTGGTAACTGCTTTTTATCTTACCGCTATCAGACAAACCTTTCTGGCATGGTAGGACCTCGAGAAAACAGGCGGTCCAACCAGTATACCTTGTTGGATCTTTGTGATATACAAACCTGACCATCAAGCGAACGTATCGGCTATCGGTCGGGAGGTAGTAAATCAGGAAGTTTTGAAGCTGTTGCTTAACCTGGCATGTCTTTCATGAGTGATTTATTTAAACATAAACTCGGCACAGATTTACAAAAGTTGTATCCCACAGTATGGTGTTGCAGCAAGAGAATAATGCCGAGAAGAAAAACAGGAAAGGAAAGACCGACAGGAAGACGACGAATTATAATATAAGAAGTTGATGTCACAATCACCGCTTGTTAAGATTCGCTGTCATAATCTAACCCATCAGGTGTCCTTATCTTTTGAACTTTGTCATGAGAGTAGAGGTACGCGAACAGATCCTCAACAAGTGGATGTATTTCATCGAGTTCGGCACCTGGTTATCAAGAGTTGAAGAAGTTGAACTTAGTTCGAACCAATACAGCAGCTATGTCAAACACGATCTGGTGTTTCATTTTCAGTCCTCATTCACGGTATGCATCTGATTGCATCCTTCAATGACAAACAAATCACCTACTGACTAGAAATTTCTGTGTGAAGTAAAAATCTGGTCAGCGGTCGGACCTCGTAGCTCAGTTGGTAGAGCTTCGGGCCGGAAATCCGGTTGTAGCTGGTTCGAATCTAACTGCGGTTCAAATTTTCATTTCACCTTCAATCATCACCCGGTATAAATTTCTATGTTTCAATTTCCCAGTAACCTATTTGCTTTATTTTTTTCTGAGTCAGTATGCACCTGATAATCAAATCAAGACATCGAAAAAATCTGGTCCACCTGTATGGGATAAAAGTAAACGCAAAAAAGGTGTACGAAAAAATAAATCACGTAAACAGGATAACTCAAAACGTCAACAGCGTAGCTGTCTACCGAAATCTGAAAAAACTTATCCAATCAGAAGTACCTGCAGAGGAAATTGATTCAGAACAAGAGGATAGTGATGCTGCTATCCGTGGCACAGAAAGTGAGTCTATCTCTGGACAGTGATAACTATTCTACTGTTTAATAATACATTATGATTCCTTAGTTTTCTTCCTACATAAAGTTGTTGATGAGATCATCACCGGAGAATAAAGACCTACTGAGGATTGTCATGTTATTTATTTGCATGTAACGATCACAGTGGCACAGATGTATCCACATATTATCTTCACCCTAGTCGTCTCATTCTTTGCTACTTTCTTTTAACGACTTTCTACCACTTCTGACTATTTTCTGCCGTATTCCTCTTCCACCTTGGTTCATTCTCGCTTAATATGCCGATATGAGATATGGCAACTTGAACCGTTATGCAGCAATCCCAGGTCCTTTGTTGATATTCCTCTATGTTCATGTATCTGTTGAAGTCACATGTAACTTATAATGCGAAACAGTGAAACATGACAGTGATGCATCTGATCGTTCTGTTATACTTTAAAACAATACTGTAATAAAATAGGGAAGTAAATCTACTCCTAACTATTTCCTTTATGGATGTTTAGTGCTGATGTAACCGGGATATGTGTTATGCATGCCTGGTCACTATCTCCCCCCTGACAAAGTGTTATCTGAATTTGAAAAAAGAACAAGTATTTTAACGAATAGTCTCTTTCGGTGATTTCATTTTCAAAGCTGTACAATCGCAAATTTATACCTTTTTCTAGTGTAAGGATTTGATATTTAAAAACGGTTTGTCAACCATGGCGACACAAATGGTGTCAATAAGTGAGTTGTCATTAAAATCAAAAACAGATGAGTAGTGAATATTAATCAAAATAAGTTTGGACAGGAAGTTCCGTAACATGACATAATTGGAAACTGATTCGTGTTCACGATGTGTTCAATTATAGCACTCCTTATCGCTCCATTGTTACCTCTTTGTAACCACGCGAGATAGTCTTCTTAAATCCTTTTGGATAACAGTCGCACTAAACGACCTATATACCTGGCTCCACAAGAGCAGGTGAATTGATATATGCACATAGAAGTGATCAAGTGTTAAAGTTTCTCCTTTGAGCTGTTAGAAATCGTTGACCGCAAGAGGACGGTTTCAGCGTTGAAGCAAAAAATGTTCTCCTTAGAGCGTTTAATATCCTCATTTTTAGAGTGTCAGCCGCAGAATCACCTTTGAAGTTGAGATTCACATAGAGTATCTTTTTGCACAGTGGTAAGGTTCTCTTTGTGAGGTTTAGGCTTGATGTGTTTGTCTATGAAGCGTGGTGGGAATCTGTTCTCAATCAGGATGTTCTTTAGAACAGAAATGTCCTCTTCTAACACATCGAGACTCGAGGTTCGTCTGATGCAAATAGCAAGAGTTACGATCAAATTGCGCTTACGGTTGATTGGGACCCAACTATTAAAGTTTGTCAGTTGACCATTCCACATTGGTTTTCTGTGAATTGACCTACTTAACATTCCATCTGAATTTGGTCAAGGCTGGGAAAAGTATAGAAACGACCAGACTAAAATGCAGCATCAGTTCATGAAGTATCTGGCTGTTTGTCTGAGCTGTTTGGGGAAATGTAGACTTCCTGGTTGGTGTGCACATGATAACCAAAATCAGTGGTTGATGACTCTAAGGGATATGGTTCAGATGCATCCAAACGTTATCTTCATCGTCATATAGTATTTTCTTATATTCTCCTAACCTCTCTTCTTCTTTATCACCTTCTACGACATTTCATTACTTTCTTTTTCTATTTATCTTCTTTCATCTTGGTTTCTCCTAGACTGATGTGCTGCTGATGTGAAGTGTATTGACCTGGATCATTATCCAGTAATGCCAAGTTACTTGTTGATAATGATTAAAGTGATGAATATTTAGGGTAAGATAAACAGCAGATATATCTGCAGCACTGTTATCGGTTTGGAACTTTACAAGTGAAACTCCTCACCCGCCTATTTCTTTATCTTCGAAGAATTTAAAGTTGATCGCATTGACCAGGTTAACTATCATTGGTTTTAAGGAATCGTGTCACATCTTGAAACTAAGATTTTCTTTACCCTACCTCTACTATAGTGTAGATCCTATTGAGCTATGAAGTAGCTGTTTCCATATAAATTGACAAATTGCTCAAGTTTATCACCTTGGTAGTTCTATAGCATAAAGTGCTTCTTCACTGACAGAAAATTCCCAAGTGCTTGTGCATATGCCTTGTCCTCAACTACCTGCTAAACAAACTAACGTCTACACAATATTTAATCTGACGGATGTATGTTTCAACACGTTATTTCAACTTTTTCTAGCGCGTTATATATGAAAAGTAATGCTAAAGCATTCCTATGTTATAACCTACGTCAAGAGAAACAATTTGGCACATTCCAGGGAAGATGCATTGGGATTTTCCTTCTCATGTCTCTTCTCCGATTACTTTTGGAAACTGGAGTAGATTACGTTTCTTCTAATATTGAATGAAAAGACTTATTCTTAAAGATAATACGTGTTCTGATAGACCACAGAATCGACATTTCATAGCAGACATCACAACTTCGATAAGAATTGATAAAAGATGTAGTGCGATCATTCTAGGTTTTAGTGGGAACTATCTCGTCCAGAGCAGCATCTGACAATCCAAATTATTTTTGGAGTTCCTATTTAAGATGCTGTTTATCATGGACTGGAGGACCATTGAAGACCTGGAAGCACTTGACAGCTGTTTCATCCTAGTATGTGGCTCCGCTGCCTTGTGTACTCACGACTCTACCAGGGATCAAACCCGAGACCTCCAGATTTCTTGGCGAGCATGTCACCACTGAACTTGTGAGTTGGAATCTACTCGTCCATAATTTCGTAATTTAGCGCAACCTTCATCCAATGCCACCGTTGAGTATTTGTTCTCACGTTCAATTTGATTTGCTCCACTGGTCACAGTTTCTCATCAGGACTTCGGGAGACCTATATCAGAGGGCGTCACCAACGAAATTTGCTCACTTGATGAAATTAACTCAGCCAATAAACGCAACTATATCCTGTTTATTTGTTACTATTCATATTGCTCGGCTGAAAAGAGCGATATTCTTCTACAGATATTTACTGTATTTTGTAATCTTTTTTATTCTTCCAGAATTACCGAATCATATCAATCCTACTGATTCATCTTGTCAACCAAAGCTTCATACGAATGACAAGATTGGATCTATTCACTCACTTCCTATTATTGAAAATGTGAATTGTGGATCAGATGAAACAAAAGTGGAAACAGCAGGCATGACAGTAGTAGATGGTTCTGCTGAATCACCTCCTACTGTCTCATCAGTAAACACAGATAAATCTTTGTCTTCAAGTAGAACACCTGTTAAACCATTGTGTAAATCCTCAAGTATGATGAATTCAAAAACACACTCTACACATGTTGTACACTGTCCGTATTTCCCAGTGGTAAGTTTAACTGCTTTAAGCATCTGTACGTGGTTAGTGATAGGCTCTGTTTAGTGAATAGTTATATCATTATCATTTTGACTATCTGAGATAACCGTGATTTGATAGACTTGTATTGTTACTGAGCGGTGATTGAAGGATTCTAACCAGCGAACACCAGGTTTCCGGCTGGGTAATAAAAAAAGAATGATTTACAGTTAGTTTACTTCTGCTGAACGTAGAGAAGATAGAGGCGATGAAGATACCCAACCAACAACAACAACAACAAGAAGCACCATCAACAGGAGAAATCTAAAGCTGGTTGTCTCTTTTACCTACCACCTAAGCAGCATCGTTCCAACTACAGGTGGCGACACAGATGAAGACGTCAAAGCCAGGATAGGAAAGACAGCAATACTGGCCTTCATCAATCTGAAATAATCAGTGTGGAGATCTACTGCTCTGCACTCAACTCAACTCCACCCCACTCCACTCAGCATAAAACGTGAACAACATCCGGATTCTCAACACTAATGTCAGTCAAGTAAGTCAGTGCTTCTATGTGATGGTTCACAGACTCGACGATGCGTTACGAGAAGCATTTCCAACAAATTGCTGGAATACATGAATAACTACCACCTACGCTCACTCGATACTAATACTGAAGATCAGATGGCCAGAATAGTAAGAATAAGCAAGGAGGAACTCTGGCCGGCCGGCTGGCTGGCTGGCAACGAACCAACCAAGAGCCTATCGCCCAACAATATGCAGAAGAGAGTGGAGATTGATTGGACTGGACATATACTGAGAAGACCATTTGGGGAAATCACGGGCTAGGTCGGGCCAGGCCAGGCCGTCGAGTGGAACCCAGATGGGAAACGATGAGTTGGGCGTCCCAGCTGAGGGTGACATGGAGGAGATGGTGTGAGGAAGAAATGAAAGCTTCTGGGCAGTCGTGGAGCCAGGGTGAAAAGACTGCAGGGAAGAGAGTGGAATGGAGACGTGCTATTGAAACCCTATATTGCACTAGGAACCCAAAGACAAATAATAATAAAGTAACGTGCTTCATGACCACAGTCATTAAGCTAGGAAGTAGAACAATGTGGTGGTCCTTGGAATCACACTAGTGGTTAAATATTTTCCAACTGCACTTTGTTGAGTAGGGTTTCTGGAGTCATTTGGTGCCGCTATTTTTCATATTGTAATTCAACCTTGTGAATGGATTTATCCAGTAGATTGATAACATGCAACCGTGTAATACTACCCTATCGCCAAGGTCTACGTTGATGGATTAGGATTTCAACCCTAGATATTCTGCAGTCAGCAAGGCATGACAGTGTTACTCAAACTGAAGGAAATTGATACGAAAGCTATTCTGCTGCGAAAACAGAGATAGTAAGCATTAAATACCCTATGAAGCTATGCTTCACTAGTTTAAACAGTCATGTTCCAATCAGTGAGTATCGGGTTCGGATCTCACCCGCTCATTGCCTCATGCACGAACCTGCTCGCGGTTGTTCAGTTCCATTATTTTAAAAGAGGCTCTCAGAGAATAGCAAGAAGGTATGTGAGGTTCCTTAGAAAACTTATAATATGCAGACAACATAATCGAATTAGGGAAATAATCTGATAGAGTTTTCTACCCATATTGAATGACAATTCAGAAATACTTTGACATATGTTCCTCGCTTCTCAGCTGTTCATGGCAGTTTCAGAACTGGACTATGTCGTCGACACATCGTCTGATTATAGGCAACTGAGTAACTTGATCACTTCGCGTTCTACACTTTTTACTAATGATTGGCGAGTAGTATCCTGTTGTTTAGTCCTCAACGTTAAACGATTTCGACATAGAACTTTAATTCATTTCCTAGTGGTTGGGTGTTTTTTGAGTTTTAGTATTTCATCGTGGACGTTTCATCATCAGCCTTGATAGCATCTTCAGCACTAACTTCATGGAGAAAGGAAGCATATTCGAATGTTGTGTTTTCACTGATTTTGAGTGTTGTTTACTTGTTTGTTTCGGTAAAGATTTTTGTTACATCTTGTTCTCTTTTGCCTTAACTTTTACTGTCATACAAATAGTATATGTTATGATGATATTGTGCTATTTATTACTGCCACCGTATATCACTACTAATTTTTTTCAGTCAGTTTCCTCTTGACTGGTGGATGACTGTTTTCTTCCTTGCTAGATTTTTAATTTTGTTGGAATGCCTTGCTTCTAGGAACTCTCTTGCAGGTTTTGAACCTGTTGTTTGGAGGACCCCTACATTCTCCTAGTCGAATTTGTGACCGTGTTTGCCAACGTGCGTTGAAACCAAGGGCGTTGCATCGTGTCGTTTTACTGCTGGTTCATGAATGCTTTGAGGAATCCGACGGTCCGATTGGCTAACGTAGCGTTGTTAACCATCTTTGTAGCTGACTTTGTAGATTATATTTGCCCAGTCTTCCTTTAGCTTGTATAAACTGGTCTATGATGGTCTCGTTGGTTTGTGTGCCACTTTGGTCCCGAACAGTCGAGGCTATTGGTCGACTGTTTCTGAGACATGTTTACTGTAGAGCACAGTAACTCGCTTATTGATTTGAAGTAATTGCCTTGTCTCCTGTCCTAGCTATAAACACTTTGTGATAAAGTCGATTGGATAATCATTGACTTTGAACACTTTGTACGGGTATTTTTCTTCGGCTTTCCGTAGTGCTTCTGTGTTGCAATGTGTTTTGGCCCTTGAGAATAGTGCTTGAACACAACATTTCTTATGAAGTGTAGGGTTATTGCTGTTGTAGTTCAAAGTTTGATTAGTGTGTATGGTTTTCCTGTATACCTTTGTTTGCAACATTGTGTCGTGTGTTCTGCTGATGAAGATATCTAAGAATGGAGTTTTGTAGTTGGTTTCTCCTCCTTTGTGAAGTGAATTCCTTTAAATATTTGGTTAATTAGTTTGGACGTGTTTTCTATTTCGTCTTCCTTAATAAATGCGTGTGTGTCGTCGACATACCGATGACTATTGATTCCAACCGTTGCATCACTGTATCAGTAATCAATGCTGATAATGGTGATCCATAGGTATTGTCTTTGTGTGTTTGTAAATCTTCCTATTGAATTGTAAATAGATAGTGAGGTATAGATCGATCAATTGTATATGGTTTGGAACTGTGAGCTTCGAGTAGTCAGGAAGAGTTTAGTCATTCTTTAGAAGAATGTCCATTATCTCTGGCTAGATTTGAAACAATTGGAGTGAATAGTGAAGTCACATCAAAGGATTTTATCCTTTTACCACCGTCTTTCATTTTGTCCGAATATTCAGTTGCTGAGCTGATTGAATGTTCACTTCCATTGACGAGACGCTTGAGTTTGGTAAATAGTTTTTTCAATAGATTGAACAATTTGGTTGATTGTGGCTAGCAGAAGAATCCAGGACGTGCATTTCGTCCTATTTGGGACTCGCCAACCGGATGTACCTGCACCCTAGTGATGTTTTCGCCACTGAGACTTGAACCTCGTATCCATCGCTTCAAACGCCAAGGCGCTATCCACTATGCCATGGAGGAACGATAACCACTTTTTGTAGAACGAGTAGTAGTTATTACTATATATTGGCATACTTGTTATTGTCCGTTGTTTTGTTGGATTGATTTGTTCGACCTCTATTGGCATATGGGCTCCTATGAGGTTGCCTCGATATTGCTTGAATGTTAATTATGATAATTTGGTTGGTTGTGGCTAGCAGAAGAATCTAGGACGCGTGTTTCGTGCCTCAAGTAATGAAGCTATTGGTCGTAGTGGAGTATATATCTTATGTTTCTTAGATTAGACGTAGGAACTTGGTAGTATCGCTTGGTTTATCTTCCTTTGCCGTCGTTCTTCTTTAGTGATCGAATCAAATTTTACTAAATACCTGAGTTTTCTTTGGATCTGATTGTTTGAATTTCATTCTGTTGGTTGGTAAACATCTTAGTCGTTGAGTAATTCCTGTACCTTTATCGGTCATGACTACCGTTTTGCTTTCTTTATCTGAAGGTAATATAATGACTGTTTTGTCAGTCATTAGCGATTTCAGTGCATTTCTTTCTTTTGTGTTTGGTAGATTTTAATTCCCTTTGATTTTCACTAGACATACAAATAGCTTGGAGTAGTTCCTGTACTTGTACCTGTAATTTTCCGTTGATTGTTGGTTCTAACCGTATTGATGGGTGTTTGTTGGTGCATGGGCTTCAATCAGATTACATCTTAGTCACTATTCTGGCAACACAGAGGCATTCTCAATAGGACCCATCAATTTGGTTCAAAATAAAAACCATTGAGAAAGTACAGTTATCAATAGATAACAACTGATACCCGTTGCGTAAGAGAGGTGGTTGTCGTGATTCACTAACCAAGTGGATAAAGCGTTATCACTTAGTGTGATTAGCACTGTGTTTGAGTCCCAGTAGAATCATCCTCAATTACTGGAACGCACAGGTGAACCCAGCTGATGTATTCGAAATGAAATAAAATAAGTATCGTAGATTTCACCTCTAGCTACCATCAATCAAATGACATTATTAGTTAAATGCTTCTCAGTATTTGTTGCCTACATCCGCTTATTACTTGTTTTGTCTATTGACAGGAAAAATTTGAAGGTTGGTGGGTATATCTAGCCGATAGAAAAACTCGTCAGCTTATTACAAAGCCTATTTACATTGCAACCTTACAAAATGAAGAAGAGGTGAGTGGAATTCATTCAGTGGTGTTGTAAAACATCGTATTTTCTGGTCATTCTGTAATATTTCTCAGTAATGTAGTTATTTGCTGATTACTTCTACAGTTTATTTTGATTATTTTTCGATTTAACCAAGAATGATTCAATTGGATAGAACGGTTGTATGTGGAAATATAGACGAATGTGTGTCAATTGGTTAAACGACGGGTAAGCATGCATGTTAAGTGAGAGAGGCGTAATCAGATTGATTCGTTAGACTTTGTAATCTCCAACTGTAGTCTAACGAATCACTCTATGATGTTTAAAGTTTCATCTACACAAAATCAGCTGATCGCCAAATCAACGTCGAACCTAACACTGAAGTGCATCGGTTCAAGTTGCCTTAGCAACATTCAAAGAAGAAGTGGGTGAATTAGTAACATTAAGGTACACAAAACTGTATAAAAGGAGAAAGAAAATTAACGAAGATGACAAAGGGTTTGTATATCTACGTGATTCTAATCTATTTTCAGCTACACCATAAAGAGTTTCTAACTGATGATTTCTGTTATATGAAAGACTATTACTCGCTGCAATGTATGTGGATCTAAGTGACGAATTCCAAGTCTGCTGACACACATAGTTTTCACTGGAAGTCATCTCTAAACAAGTATGATAACGAATGACTTGATCTCTTCTTGGCTATAATGACTAGTTGTAATAATTTTCCTTTACAGCTACAACTTAGATTTGTTGCACCACCTCTTCCTGGTCAATATCTCTATATCTTATCGATTCGTTCGGATAGCTATATGGATTGTGATTTCTCTGAATCGATTCGAGTAAGTTCACTTTCGTTTTATAACCTTTTTGCACCAGGGATTCTGTGTTATATTACTGCTATTTGTTCTTTGGGTTCCTAGTGGAACATAGGGCTTCAGTAGCACGTCTCCATTTCACTCTGTTCTCTGCAATCTTTTCAACAGCCCAGAAGCTCTCTTTTCTTCCTCACACCATCTCCTCCATGTCATCCTCAGCTGGGACGCCCAACTCATCGTTTCCCATCTGGGTTCCACTCGAGCAACTGGCCTGACGCGTGATGTCCCCAGTCGGCCTTCTCAGTGTATGCCCAATCCATCTCCACTTCCTTCTGCATATTTGTTGAGCGATAGGTTCTTGGTCGGTTCGTCGGCAGTCCAGAGTTCCTTGTTGCTTATTACTTCTGGCCATCTGAGCTTCAGTAACGAGCGATGAATTATTATTATTATATTATTTGTCCTTTGAGTTCCTAATGGAATATAGGGTTTCAATAGCACGTCTCCATTCCACTCTCTTCCCTGCAGTCTTTTCACCCTGGCTCCACGACTGCCCAGAAGCTTTCATTTCTTCCTCACACCATCTCCTCCATGTCACCCTCAGCTGGGACGCCCAACTCATCGTTTCCCATCTGGGTTCCACTCGACGGCCTGGCCTGGCCCGACCTAGCCCGTGATTTCCCCAAATGGTCTTCTCAGTATATGTCCAGTCCAATCAATCTCCACTCTCTTCTGCATATTTGTTGGGCGATAGGCTCTTGGTTGGTTCGTTGCCAGCCAGCCAGCCGGCCGGCCAGAGTTCCTCCTTGCTTATTCTTACTATTCTGGCCATCTGATCTTCAGTATTAGTATCGAGTGAGCGTAGGTGGTAGTTATTCATGTATTCCAGCAATTTGTTGGAAATGCTTCTCGTAACGCATCGTCGAGTCTGTGAACCATCACATAGAAGCACTGACTTACTTGACTGACATTAGTGTTGAGAATCCGGATGTTGTTCACGTTTTATGCTGAGTGGAGTGGGGTGGAGTTGAGTTGAGTGCAGAGCAGTAGATCTCCACACTGATTATTTCAGATTGATGAAGGCCAGTATTGCTGTCTTTCCTATCCTGGCTTTGACGTCTTCATCTGTGTCGCCACCTGTAGTTGGAACGATGCTGCTTAGGTGGTAGGTAAAAGAGACAACCAGCTTTAGATTTCTCCTGTTGATGGTGCTTCTTGTTGTTGTTGTTGTTGGTTGGGTATCTTCATCGCCTCTATCTTCTCTACATTCACCTGTAAGAACATCTGTCCTCGTTGCCTCGCCTCTTCTGTCAACTTGTTAGTTTTTGCCAGTAGATCTTCGAGTTTGTGCGACATTAGGCATAGATCATCATCGGCGAAATCCAAATCTTCCTCTGTGGTCTCATCCACAGTTCTTGGTAGGTGACACCTGACAAGTTTAGAGGATCAGCTTGTACGCATAATCACATTGTTATTTCACTGCATAATAGTTACTAAATCCAAAGTCTACTTTGTTTAGAATTATTCATTGGTTTCATAGTAATAGACAGTTTGATGGATTATAATAGAGATTTTCGTAATTTTTATTTTATTTTTTCTGGCTACCTATTGGTTTATACTACTGTATACTCTTTTAATTCATCAGATACTTGGCATTGTTATGATGGTAATCAATTTGCTACACTATCGTACTTTGTTTTAATGTTCGTTATTTCAATGTATTTCGGAAAGGTTACCGAAATTTCAGTCTGTCCAGATCATCAAATACTGAGTATGCTTTTTGACTGACCTAACAGTTGCTGACAACTTCAAGCATTTACACTTTCGAACTAGAAACACATCTAGTAATGTAGCGTAACATTCACCTATGAGGATCAACCTTGGTGAATCTATGATCGACGAAATCTCCATAAGAAGACAAAAAGTTCAGTTAGCTTTCACCAATGTACGCCATTTATGCGACCACTGTGATGTCAGATTGTCAATTGAAGACCGAGTGTAATGAGCTGAAGTTTTCTCTGTTCTATATCATGGATATGAAACATGGCTACTGAGAGTAGGGGACACAAAAAGGGTCCTAGTGTTGAACTACCGCTTCCGTTGCGACGTAAGTCATATCTTGTGGTGTCACCACATGGGTTTTAGGGCAAATTATAAAGTCAGTTGATTAAGTTGTTAATCTATATCAACTCAGATGTATCGGATATGGATTACGCAGTCCCAGTTAACGTCTTTCGCATCATAAGGCGTTTTTTTTTATCTTTCATGTTAGTGCATTTTTGGTTAATGTGCTGATATGAGGTTTGGCAGCTTGGACCATTACACAGTATTGCTAGGTTCTATATTGATATTGTGTATCTATCATGCTTGTGTCGTCACAAAAAGAATCCATCATCATTCATTTCCTTATTCATTTTGCTTTCAAGTCGCTTTTTCCAGTTTTAAACTCATTTGCATGCAATTCGGTTTGATCAACCTGTTATCATTATGATACCTCACATCGTACGCTTGACTCATGTCCTTATTATATATAGACTATTCCAAGTTATATTCGTAATTTATTGAGGTAGATTCAAGCCGAAGCTTCATTGCTTTAAAGTTAAATGCTCAAACCAATCAGTCACAACAGTTTGCAAGCAATATACGTGTACTGCTGATATATATTAGCAGATGTAGTTTCTTCTTTGATAATTCTCCTAATTTAAAAATTGCTATCTTTCATTTTCTGATGAACAAATATTTATTATTTTCCAAGTAATAATATTACCTATTATTTATAGTTCACTGTTCGTCCACTGCCTGAAAGGATTGTGCAAATTCTTAAAGAGCAAGAAGAAGCCGCTTCTGATGACGATACCAGTGAATCATCTAGCACAGATACTGAAGACATTGATGAATCAGACATTGAAGAGGATCTTGATATTGAAGTGCTCTCTCCAGAAGAGTGTACACAAGCCAGTGATAATGTTAACACATCAAAGAAATCTGAAACAGAGATAAGTGGACTTCCAGACAACGATGATGTTGAGGAGGATGAGGACGAGGAGGATGATTCTAATCAGCTACGACAACGACCAAGTAAACTTGATAATAAATGTTTATCAGCTTACTTGGCCGAATCTTGATCAAGCTTTTCCTCTTTTTTTTCTTGTTTTGCGTGTTATTTTTCTCTATCACCTCACTGCATTCACACTTTGTTTCGCTGTAAAGAATATATTGTATACATTATTACGCATTCATGTGACTGTATTGTGATCTCCTATAAACTGCTTTTTCACGAGATGTAGAGTATTAGTAGGTGATTATTCTAGTTCCTCTGGGGTTTGGTAAAACCACTAAGTGTGTAGTGGTTATGGTAGTTATAACAGATTTACTTGTTTACTTATTTGGACACATCGGTAGATAAAATTGATGGTGCAAAAGGTCGATATCCTGTTCGTTTTTAACTGAACAATTGAATTCATTGACACGGCGATACTAGAGATGTGCATCCGGATAAATTATTGACATCTGTTTGTTTGATGTGGACTGATTCTAATTTATAATAATAGTAACAAGAATATGGTACTGGTTGCACCTAAAAAGGATAAACCAACCACCGAGAAACAACCTAAGCGTACTGAAACCAAACGAAAGGGATCGACCAATCACATAGTTACATACCCCTCTGAGAAAACTGGAGACAAATCAGGTTAGACATACGCCCACGCACTCACCAAGCGACCAGTGAGGCTGTACTCAGGAGGAGTAGCACGTTATTAACATCTATGCGTTGCCCATTACTTCACTTCATTGTCAAACTCTGATGACGATTCCTAGCATGATATTCCAACATTTGCTAAATGAAACCCAACTCTGAGAACCACTCATTGTGAACACACTTGGAAGTGGCAGCGTCGTATATTGCAACACTGGGTGACATAGATTTTGATCTCAGAGGGAACAACAGTTTCTTCGAGGTTGTAGGTATACCTCGCTGACTACGGCCAACAAGCAGGAAACCTTGATGAAACAAGGCTACCTAATGATTGTCTCCAACCAACTAGAGATATAATTCTCTCAAAAAGAAAATAGCGAAAGTATTCTGTATGATTAATAGCTTACCATGAAGTGTAGTACAGCTCCACGTATGCACTAACATAGATCAAAATAAACTGGTGCATTGGTAAAAGATATTCAGGTGTATTTATTCTAGCTCAAGATTGCGGACTCATCGTAGGATAAAAATACTTACAGCAGATATCTGTAATTTGCTAGACCTCCCAAGCAACCTTGTAAGCTTTTTCTATTCCCTGATTGGCGATTCACTTTGACAGAATCTTCATGTTAGCTCTGTCAAGATTATTCGAAAGGCACTATGCTATTACGGATGTCGGTGGATGAGATTATGAACCTTATGTGACTCAGGTGGCTCGCAATGCGTTGTGCATGCCAAGTCACTGCCTACCTCCACATGTAGTGTTAGTTGAAGTAGAAGAAAGCTAGTAGTGGCCGAACGAAGCCGCGGCATCAATTTATGAAGCTTTTAAGTGTTGGCCTGAGTCGTATAAAGGGAGGAGGGGTCCACGGGACCATAGGAATCAATGCTTGCAGGCTATGATATGGCTGAAAATGGATCACAATGGCGTAGATGTATTCACTCGCGAGCTTAAATATTTCGACTAACCTTGGTTTTTAGATTCCCCCCATTCACCTTTATCTACTTTGATATCACTTTTTCTATCCACTTGTTTTTTGAACACTACTTTGAAGCCTGGTAACTTGAATCGATGCACTTGTGTGCTAGATCTCACTTTCAATTTGATTGTCTGTTTGTCATTCCCATCACCAACGTGAGGTCACAGCAACGCTTGCTCACACGAATGAATATTTATTCAATTTTGCAATGTTTCTTATTTGTTCGACCTCTCACTTTCTACTGTCTTCCTAGTCACTTAGATATATCAGTAAGACTAAGATAGTCGTGGCTTGACAGACAGACTTGTATCACTCATACGCGATGATGATTGAAGGTGAAATGAAAACCTGAGCCGTGGCCGAATTCCAACCAGTGACCACGGGGTTCTCGTTACATAATGCATAACTGTTCATGGTTATTACACAGTATCTTTCTCACCAAGACTTCTTGTATTTACGCTAATTCTTGAATTATGTCCTGTTATAACTTAATCTGTTGCGATCAACTTGTTCATCATTGTGAGCTAATAGATTGTACATCACTTTCAACCGTACTGGTTCGTATAGTCTCAACCACAGTTGCTGACTTAATTCATGGAGGTCATCTGGTTGCCTTGGCGTATGCAGACGACATTTTCATGCTAGGTGAAGACGCTGACAAAATGTGGGATCTTCTGAGAGTGTTGAGCAGTAATCTAAGTACATTTAACATGAGTTTCACACTTGTCAAATATAAGATAATGCTTCAGGACTGGTCTGCATCGACCCCCAGCTTAATGATAGAGAGTGAAGTGGTAGAATGTGTCGACCGCCGCACTTGGGAGTTGTGTCAGCTCAGATGGGCTCGTTACCGACAGTCTCAGTTCAGCGAAGGCCTGTTTGTCACTTGCCAACTTGCGTAATATGTGGTGCCAACTATATATCAAACGACGAGTATACTGCGTTAGCCCGTTCTGTCCTGTTGTACGGCTGTGAGATGTGGCCGTTAAAAGTAGAATATACAAAGCGATTACGGGTTTTGATCGGAGGTGTCTTCGTGCATTGCTCCCGTGTGATGGGATCACCATGTGAGCAGTGCTAACGTCAAGCGAAGCGTACCAGGCAAGTTGACCGACGAGGTTCTGAACCCTCATCGGCTGAGATGGGTTTGACACGTATTGCGCATGCCGAGCTACCTCCTAACTCGACGCACCATGTTAGCGGAAGTTGGATTAGGCTGGAAGAGGGTTTGTGCTGGCCAGACCGGTACGTGGTACCAGTTGATGAAGTCTATGACTGCTGGCCTGAGAGGTGTGGTGATTTTAACTTCCTGCTTTAGATCCTCGAGACGAAACTGACCAGTGGTTGGTCACGGCTGAAAACCGGTCCCAATGGCACAGATGTTTTCATTCCTTGATATCGCCTAAATCTTGAATATTCACTCTAGCCTTTATCGTCAGATTGTTTACTTTCTCACGGCATTTTATCTTTTTTGATATCCGTCTTTTTCTACCCATCTCTTTCTTGCGTACTAGTATGAAGTGTGACAACTTGAGCCAATATACCTCTGTGCCAGATTCCTTGTTTTTTTTGTCTTGTCTCTGTTTGCTGAATAATATCATATCTTGTAACGCAGAATTCAACCTTGAAACCTTGAGTCAACATCTGAACATGAAATGCTGCTTTGTAAACCTACATTATACAGGCTTCTGTGTATGAATCAGTTTCTTGTTCCATTCTCTGCTGACTACCGTACATAGCTTGATAATATTGAGGTCATGTCTGTAGTCTAGTAGATGTCATCATATCTATAACAATAAGTTTTTAGCAGTTTACCGTCATCCGTGTTTGAAAGCCTATTTGAAGGGTAGCCCTTCTCATTCAATTTCACCTTTAGCGCTAACTAAGATAGAACAAGTTTGTGAAATGGTCACCAGTCAAAATGATTTAACACCGTGATCGTGTATATTTTGACATAAGAATCTCTGAATTTGTTTAGTGTAACTACAACTATAGAAAAATTGACTCTTCTTTGAGTATTCGCAAGTGTGTCGATGAATTGTTCCGGTCACGACTAGCGTCTTATACAACTGGGCTACATATGCCAAGTAGTCATTAATTTTATGCGCTGATACAAATTCTGAAAGAAATAGTTTACTCTTTCTTTAACTACACAAGTTCACCACTAAATCCAAAGCATTCCTCTAATTGCTTCCAGCTATACAACACGCATAGGAATTATTGATTGCGGTTTGCATTGTAATCCAATATGTGTATTTCGTTGTATTTAAGACTCACCAATTGGGTATACGTGCACCGCAAGCGGTGATGTTGTTCCCACTCATATTACAAGCTGTATCAAAGCATCCAAATTCGAATACATGTCATTAGTGAATGATTAGCTCGCTTCGGTCAACCATGAAATATTACAAGCTGAGACAATGAATTATTTCTGAAAAAAATCAGTTTAAAATTCATCAGGAATACCCAATCAATTACTGACGAATCGTATTTTGATAATTAAAACTTCATTTCAACATACTCATATTGATTGCGTTTTCAATTAATAACTTTAGCTTAACTTAGCATCAATAAGTGGTTAAGTTTGTTATATACAAGTAACTATTTTATCAATATTTTTGTGCATAGCATGATATAGCTAAATGTTTGCAGAAATTAGGTCAGATATAGGTACATAGTGACGTTACTGTTTTTTTAAACTAGCGGTGTAGCACATAATCGACGATATTTTCCGAAGTAATTTTCAGAAAAATGCCTTCATATGCATATGTTGCCAGTCAGTCTATATATATATATATATATATATATATATATATATATATATATATACTATGAATGCCTAAGCATAAATATCCAGAGAAATGTTTTCACGGCAGACCAGTGCCTTTCTTACTAGCCAATCAAATCACCGCCTTCCTCATTCCTGATTGATTTATTTTTCATCAATGGAATTCTTGTTCACTAGATGGTTAGTGCTTTTAGTCCGTTCGAACTGAAAACATCTAGTAATCTAGAGAAACATCCAGCTATGAGGATTAACCTTGGGGGTAGGTGAGCAACAAAGTATGTGCACGAATACAAAAGGTTCCGCTGAGCCCCTACCAACCCATGCCTTTTACGGTGCCTCTGTAATGTCCGAGTTTTCAATTAGGCGCCAAATGTTCCGAGCTGTAGTTCTCTGTGTTCTACTATATGACTGCAAAATAGGGCCATTTTGGATAGGGGACATGATAAGGCTTCAGGTGATCGGGCCTCAGTACCTTCGGAACATAGACTATATGTAGTAGTGCAACTGCGTCATTAACGTGGACATCAGATGCAGAGTTTCAGGCACAAAGTGAACCTCACTTTATGAGGTTGTAAACTTACATTGACTCAGATGGCTTGGATATATGTAGCATACCCCTAGTCACCATCTGCCTCATCGTGCAATGATAGTCCAAGGAGG